TTCAAGACCCTGAAAGAGGTCTCTAGAGATAGATCTCATAGAGATAATCCCATAGAGATTTTGCTGTGAATCATAGCATCAACTAGGTTGGAAAAGACCTTAAAGGTCACCAAGTCCATCTTGTGTGGGAATATATTATTTCCATTAGATGTTTTTTTCTGATCTTGCATCTCACTTGCTTTTGCATGTTTGGAGCTAGCCTGTATTTGGGAAAACAGGGTGTACTTCCACTGCTCCCCACTACAACGGTCTTCTGATAATGGAGAGCAGGGGGCCGACTACTGAGTCACCAGCACTTGGTCTTCTCTGTCATAGGTTCTCATCAAGTACTGGGTTAGCTCAATTGTGCTTGGCTCTTTGTATTTTATTCTTTTCCTCCCAGTGAAGTTACCAATGTACTCTACCTCAGCTGACTTAGGCACATAACATATATATGCACTTCTCTGCCAAATCTGTTTTAGGATGTGACTAATTTAACTTGCTTTCACTGTTTCACAATAGTGAAAGAGCTCTTGAATTGCTATTAAAAGCTTTACTACAAAGGCACAAACTTCAGACTTACCTTTCTTTGCAAAGTTCTGATAATTACTGGGGTCAAAGGAGTCAGTAATTTAGCACTTTTCAGGATACACGGTTCAAGATCCTTTTTATTGAAGAAATCCGTAAAATTAAATGGCAAATCGTAAACATATGTGCTGCAAACTTATAGTAAGAAGCCAGGCATCATCATGCATGCAGTGAAATACAGTTATGCAGAAAGGTGGTCACTCCCACGCTCAAAAAAGCCTTCCCTCCCCTTCACTTTGACCATGGAAAACATCATGATTCCTTCCATGTGAAAATGCTTTACTTTTCCTTAATATTCAGAAACTTAATTTTGCTTAGCTCTGCTTATTCATTTTGTTTGATATTGCTGTTGGCATAAAAAGGATGTGATGTTTAAGGGAAAAAGGCATTGCCTAGGATGTCCTGAGTAATTGTGCTTCTAACTAGAGACAATGGGGATGCAGTGGAGTAAGATCAGGTCGTATCATAAGACACAGGGTAGACTGTAATTATGATTTGTAAAGCACCCCCAGTTGTGGTCCCTGGGGCAGAGAATGATGATTTCATAAATAATAAAACCACAATGAGAACCATATGACTGTCCTTGTAAGACCTGCTGCCAGAATGCAAGAACATGGAAAGAAGCTTCTAAAACAAAGGGGGGAATGGCCTAAGTTTGGAAATATTGCAGATCTTTTTAGATTTGTTCTCTTTTGGATACACATGGGGAAAGAGAGGTTGCATGCTGAAGGTTGTCTGAGCATGTTAGAGTTTCCAGAGAGGGGGTACTCAAATGAAAACCTGCCAATTCAAGTCCTGAAGAACTTAGTGGAACAGCCAGAGCCTTCACTGTATAGAGTTTTAATGACCATTTAGAGCAATATGGTATCAGTTAGAAACTGTATAAATAGCTGGTGAAAATCAAGAATAATCTTTCTGGAGGAGCTCATGATCCTGCTTTGGAAGCACCCTGGTTGATTTTAAGTTATAACCAGTAGTTATTCCCAACTGGGGGAAAAGGAAAATGGTAATATCTTCTATCTGCTGCTGTGGCCCAGTTACCTACTGCTGTTATAGACATGTAATGGAGTCATTAATGGGGCAGCCTGTGGATCAATTACAATAATTTATATACCAGATGCAGCACAGGTTTTTCCTGTACAGGATGTCATAAAACTAGCATTTAAGAGATGTAATCAGATATGCTAATGTCTTCAGAGCATCTTCCTGAAATTATCCTTCGCTTTTTTATCATTTTGGGACCTTTCTTCTGCAGTCGATGTCTTCATTGTTGGCACTGCTTTCTGTAGTCTACCAAATAAGTCCATGTATAAGAGAAAGGACATGTATAATTTTTAACATTAGGTAGTCTTCGAGAAATGAACTTAGATAAGTGTGACATAGCTGATCAGCTTCTACAGTCCAGGTGTTGTAATGAGGGAGATTAGTAGTATAGTACAAACTACTACTTAGTAGTAATAGAGTACAAGCTTTAGCTGCTTGTACCTGAACTTCTTACGTACAGGACCAGTACTGGTGATGTGCCAACAAAGCAGCTTGGGAACATACACTTACTTTATTTTGGGCCAAATCAACCAAATGAGCTTACTCCACTAATTGAATTATTTATGCCAAGTCGCCTCAATTTGCATGGCACTAAAGAGAGACTTTTACAAAGAACATGTGAAGTCTCACTACCTCCCAGACTTATAGGAGGCAGCAAAAAGCAACAGTTTGGGTGGTGGAATGAAGCCTGTTCTGCAGAGAATCAGTGCTGGGAAGGAAGTACTCTCTCTCCTCTCTGGCCTCCCTATTCCTCACATTTGCAGCAATTAATGCCTCAATTCTCTTGCAGGTCAGCTGGCCTCATTTGACTTTGTTCTGGTTCATAGGTTTCTGATGTGGCCCGTTGCTACATGCAGTAATTTTTATTGTTTCAGATCTGTTATTACAGGGATACCTGACTTCTGCCCAGTTTGTACTGAATGAAAGGTAGCTGATGCTGCCACTAATTTCAGACAGGTCTGCAGATCAAAGATGTACCAGCACCTTTTCCATTAGTAGCATCCAGTGATAGATGAACTTCATGTGTCATTGACTGGCTTCCAAATCACTCATTTGTAGTATGTTATAAATGAAGTAATGATGCTCGTAACTCTTCTCATATTATCCCTAATGGCCAATCAGAGTACAGTGTGGCAGGCAGTGGGCACTGCCCTACCCTCTGCTCACACCATGACTGTCACTCAGAGCTGGGTAAGTAGCACCGAGTGCTGCTGCTGCCACTCGATGCTCCTGCCTGGCTGCTGAGTGAGCATCATACAAATCGTACAGCATCATACAAATGACTATGTCAGAAAACACGAGACATTTAGCAAAAAGGTAAGTAGCAGTGCACAGCATTTTCCATTTGGCTTAGAGGCAGTTCTGATCTTGCTGTTGAAAGCAGGAGAGAATCTGCAGCCCTCTGAAGCATGACTAATCAGTTTGCTGAAATGCTTAGCACTCTTTAGCTTAAAGTATTTCTTCCCTGTTGTTAACAGCAACCAATGATGATTTGTAGCATTTATGTAAGTAAGGTGTGTGTTCTGGTCTTAAACTCTTTGCTTGGGAGCTACATCAAATGTCAGGATTCCATGGAGCAGGATGGAAGGGTGCTGCTGGGGGTGGCACTGTGTTAACTTTTATTCCAGAAAAGATGCCAAGTAATTAATACATCTTATTTGTGCTTTGAGAATCATAACAAAGATGTTTTTCTTTGTCATCTTTCTATTTCAAAGGGATATTTTGGAAAGGTTTATTTGTCTTAAATGGGGTAATTCTCCTGCGTTGACAAGAAACAAACAAACAGAAAAAATAGGTAAAATGTTACTAGTCTAAATATATTAAACCAGACAAGACTATATTTTATATAGTCTTAAATATGCTGATTGCTTCAGGGGCACAGGTTTTAAAAAGGGCAGATCAGAATCGTAATTCATATAAACAATAATTGGCAGAGTTTTAGTTATTATAGTAAGTAAGGCTCAGAATAGTTAACGGGGACACTATATTGCATGTTGTATGAGATGAATGCCAAGACTTGGTTAATCAATGTTTGCAAAACACTTGGTGGAAGTATTGGGCACAGAAGGATTCACAGTGTATGTGAAGCGTGATGACAACAGCCACTGTGAACCATGTCATATAATGTTTCCCTTGAATTTGTAATCCTGTTTTTCATATCTATAATTATGCTCTCTTTTTCTTTGCAGTCATTATTAAAAACAAACCCAAGCTGCTGCTGCAGTCAGTGGTTATTGCTGATGCTATCTGTCTGTTCTGTGCACCTCTGTCTTTTCCGTAAGATGATACCAGGACTTTGCTTTCTGTTTTTCCTTTCAGCAGGCAGTGTGCTGTGCCATTTTTAAAGGAACTAGCACAGTTTCTAAGTCACAAGACAGGTCACATTAGTTATTGCTGTTTGGAGTCAGGAACATGGTGAGGATTTGTTTTATGTTGGGGGAGTTTTCTTTCTACAGACTTGTATACAACATGTTAGTGGAGTATAGTTCTTTGATCATTAGATGCAGATGCAGTGTCCTAACATTGGCCAGGTGACCTTAACTTTGTTAGTGCAAGGCCTTATTGTTTCATCTGTGAATTTTTTTGTCCAGCAGTTCTGACGGTGATGAACTTGGGCCAAAATTATTCAGCTGGTCTGTATTATCTTGCTGCCAGTAACCCAAAGACCAGCTGAGAACCCTTGTGATGGGTCAGGCTGACATCTGAATGTTGTAAGGGAGAAAAGTACAGCCAGAGTAAGCTGCTGAGAATCTTCTGACTTTGAGATGCAGCAGCAGCGGGGGGGTTTGTGAGTGCAGTAGCATTTCATACAGATGATGTTCCCAGGAGCAGGCACAGTGTGGATTTCAACCCACCTGCATGTGTTCAGTTGTCTACTGGTCAGGAACCACCCTGAACATGAGCTGAACTAAAGCAGGTGTTCCAGCAGCAGTCAATAGAATAATCTGGTGCAGTTTGGCAATGTCTCATCCTTAAAGTGACAGCGTGATCATAATGTCACTAAGCCTGTAGTCTCTTGTCAGCTCTACATACGCTCAGATGTGCGTTGTCACCCGGTGCTTCTGTGTTCCTGATACCTGAGCTCATCAGATTGCCATGCTCCCACATGGTAACTTCTGCATGTCCAGGTTGTTATTTACCTTACATGCAGTTTATTTTGTTTTCAGGAAACACAGAACTTGAAGAGCCTTCCACATGTCACAGGGTAAGAGCATAGTTAAAGAACATCACCTACCAACATAACGGAAGTCGCTTTCATCTTTTGCAATTATTGGAAATGGAATAGCAGGTTATACATGACAATAAGGCTAGAACTGCAGAAAGGGGGTTCAAATGTAGCAGCAATGCACCAGGAGATGTGCTGAGTTTATTCTGTTTTCTTCTGGCAGGTCATCCACATCAGACCTCAATGTGGCATTGCGTGAGTGTATGGCAGCTCTGGATTTGTTTCTTAACAACAAGTTCTCAGATGCTTTGGCTTCTTTACAAGCAAAGTAAGTTGATTACTTTTACTAGTTTTCCTCCATTCAGTTTTATTTGCTTCACCGTCTCTGAGGAGAATTGCCTAGACAGCTAGTTCTGTGTTAATAGTTGATAAGACTGCATGGTTTTGTTCTAGAAGCAAGTTAATATGTTAAGTTTTGGGGAAGACAGAAGTGCTTTACACTTGGGTAAGTAAAGAGATTGATCAAAGGTAACTACAGAAAGCACAGAATTGTTGTCCAGAGAAGTAGCTCCTCAGCTGTAGCACAGTATGTGGGGTTCTTGCTCCTGGAAGAATAAAAACCATGGTTTAACACTTTATTTTTGTTTCCCTCCTCTTTTACCCATATTTTTCTGCATGCTGTGAAAAATTTGAGAACCTACAGTCTAAATGAGCAATTGTCCAGGAATTGCCAGGTTTCAGACACATTACTTTAGGTATGAATTCTTGGTTTATTGTCTTTTTAATAACCACTTGCAGAAACTTTCTCACAGCTTATTTGCAATTCAGTATTGTGGCCATGCACTGTCTCCTAATTACATTGCAGCCCAACATGTAATGAGTGGCCCAGCTGCAAGCAGTGAGCGAGGTAATAAAATAGCTTCTAAAAAGTTGTTGCATCTTTACAATGTCTGTGAATTTTCCTCCCCTGTCCTGAAGTTACCTGTGCTCTTGGCTTGGTGAAGTCTGTGGTTAAATCACATTCTTTCCCCTCAATTTGCTCCATTTATTTTTGAGCCGTCAGCAGATTTACATCAGGCCTTTTTTCAGGCCACTGGAATGTGAAATAAGTAAAATTCATAGGTAATGCAGCAGTGTGTGTTTGATATGCATCTGCAGTAACGATAGTAAATACTACATACCTGCTTTGTTGCGGTATCAGCCTCAGTCTTTGATGCCAGAATCTGTAGCTTAACCATGAAAGTACACTCTGTGAAAGACATTCATGACAAATTGTAGGCTCAGATGTATGGTTTTATTCACAGCAGTGTTGTTTTGTGTTTATATATCATCAGAAGTTATAATAAAAACGGTAAGAAGAATAACTGTGTGTTCATTAAATTCTGACAGTAAGGCCCCTGTGCCCATCTGGAAATGCTTACTCAGTGCTTAGCATAAAATAGGGAGATATTTTATTGAAGGGGGTTTTCAAAACACTGCAAAAGCTAGCAAGGCTGTAGGGTTCTTTTTCTGTAAATCCATTTCTCTTCTGTTGCATATGGGTTTTAGTCAGCTTTTGTTGGGCTCTGCGGAACATATTTCATGAGCTGATCCTCTGGTTTTGTACCTGATCGTATTCCACAGTGCAAAACCATTTTGAAACTGATTTTTCATGTTATTCCTGTTGCCTTTGGCAGTGAAGAAAATAGACTTGCGATCTTTGCAAGTGTAATACAGGAACAGGATGCTAAATTTCCCCACAGATGATATCCATTATGGTCATACTCCATCTCATTAGGGAATGACAAGAGCTGTAGAGTGGGCACATGTGGTAATACTGAGGATTTTCTTTAGGAGTCATCAGTTCCTCACTGTTGCCTTTTAGCATGCTGAGATTTGAAATTGGTTTTCACAGTCCATAAACATACTATCTTTGTTTAAAGAAATACTTTTCAGTTTTTACATGCTTGTAAAGGATCTCGTATCACAGATTTTGCAGCTTTGCCACTTACGTTGTAGGACATACTCTGCTCTGTATTACATTATTGCAGATTCACTAAATTACTCACATTTGGCTTCCACAATAAGTGTATTTGCAACTGATTTGTACCATGTGTAACTGAGAGCAGATTTGGCAATGTTTGAGAATTAAAATTGGAAGATCTTTCCTAGCAGCTTAGAAATAAATATCTGAGGATGATGTCTAGACTAGTGTTGAGGTAAAGCTCTTTTTTTCCTGTTAGAAAAGCAAATCCATCATAAAGAAGAGATCTAATTTCATAAAGAATTCATCTGGTCTTTTTGCTTCATGTTGCATAACTTTTCTTGTTTCCTCTTCTACCTTTCAGCTTTCAGAGTCAGGTTTCTTTGTAATCATTAACAATCATCGTACAATATGATTAAATTATCTTGTGGTTTCTGCAGCAAGTTTAATTAAATTCACCTTTCATATAGAGTAGTCTAATACTAAGTTGAAGAACTGTTAAGAGTTAAATGCACTCACCAAACGCAGCGGTGATTTTCAATATGTAACCTGTTAACTGTGACAATGAGTGGCACTGAAACTGTCTAGTCACTGGAGTGGGGAAAAAATATCGTCTTCCTTCTCAACCCTGAGATACAGTAAATCAATTAAAAGCTGACTAGGTTTTAGCCCTCATGTAATTGCAAACAGATAATCATAAATCAAAGAGTTGGTCCCGGTGAGATGTCCCTTTCACTTCCCCAAAATAAATGTTTAATATTTTAATATTTATCCTGAAGGCGAGCATGACATAATCACCTGATTTTGTCATGCTTTGACATGCCAAGTGATTTGACATCAGCATCGTGTAGTATATATAGTAAAGATAAATTCATTAGACGGAGTGATCATTGAGGGAGCTGTGACACATCTGTATTTCTGCTTGCAATACTGTAAGAACAGTTTGAGAACAATTCATTCCAGGCAGTTGACTTTATTCTGAAAATAGTCTTCAAAAAGCTTTTAGTGTTGTCTGGTGGTATGTTAGTTCTAAAATGACTGTGTTTGAAAGGTAAATTCAGTGCTTTGATGTGGGAGTATCTTGGGTGGATCTGCTAGTTACTTGTGAAACCCTTACTGGAGTAGTGTAGTTCTGTGGTACCTATTTACTATCACTGGAATTTTTAATATAAGCCAGATTTACAATATTAAATGTTATCTTGTATATTCTGATCTGTAAAAAGTTTAAAGAGGTTACTAAGGAATGGGAGCCTTTTGTAATGACTGTTTCCATGGTGTAGTGAAATGTTTTTGCCCTTGTAGAACAAAAGCAAACATGAGGGTGGAGGAGCTTTCTCTGAGAACTGATCTGGCAAAGATATTGTGTGACTGTCAAACTAAGAGTAGTGAAAGAGCAAGAGGAATTACACGGAGGCAGAGTGAGGCTCTAGACAGTGTTTGGATAAAGGTGGTGCACAGCTCTGCAAAAACGTTGAGTTAGCTATTTATTGTAAAGAATGTCAAGAACATGAAGAAGGCCATTATTTCTAGGGCTTTTTTTCCTCTTTTTATGCCTGGAGTCTACAAGAAGACAACTTTTATAGCCACTGTAAAGAAATACATTACAGCCAATACCTGACCTTGTTGGTTTCACCTCCTAGATCATAGAATCATAGAATAGTTTGAGTTGGAAAGCACCTTAAGACCATCCAGTTCCAACCCCCCTGCCATGGGCAGGGACACCTCACACTAAACCATGTCACCCAAGGCTTCGTCCAACCTGGCTTTGAGCACCACCAGGGATGGAGCATTCACAGCCTCCCTGGGCAGCCCATTCCAGTGCCTCACCACCCTCACAGTAAAGAATTTCTTCCTTATATGCAACCTAAACTTCCCCTGTTTTAAGTTTTAATCTGTTACCCCTTGTCCTATCACTACAGGCCCTAATGAAGAGTCCCTCTCCAGCATCCCTATAGGCCCCCTTCAGATACTGGAAGGCTGCTCTGAGGTCTCCACGCAGCCTTCTCTTCTCCAGGCTGAACAGCCCCAACTTTCTCAGCCTAATGGAAGAACTTACTAGATTCCAAATCTTGGAGAATGGCTTAGATCACAAAGGCTCAGGGGTTCTCTTGTTTTTCTTTCTGTGGAAGCCCATGCGGTTGGTCTAGCATGTTGTTTGGGCGTTGGGTGGAACTTCTGATCAAAGATGAGGAAAGCCTTCAGGCCTTCTGTGATCACATTCTCTTGGTGCAGTTTCAGTTTAGGTCTCGGTTTCTTACTCATGGGTACACTGAACAGACTTGGCTGATCTGTAGAGGGCCTTTCTCACACTGTGCTGTTGGATTTGTTTTACTTGTTTGAGGCATCTTGATGCTAAATCAGGGCATGGATTTGAACGTGGGGTTTCCATAACCTTTCCTGCCTGCTGGATTCCTGTGAAAGCATCCACAGAAAGGTTTTGGGCACCGTGTTTTCACAAAAAATACCAGCCCCTGAGTTAATGACCCGAGGTCAACCCAAGCCAAGCTTTTTGGTTTCCGTACTTCAGCCGGAGGGTACCGCTGTCACTGTCCTCGCTTAGGTCCTTGTTTTTAAGCAGGAATAGAAGTGTTATCCAGCAGCTCTCAAGAAGGGATAGTACTACAAGATCATGATTGCACATAGTTGGAGAACAGGCATGTGGCATAACTCCCTAAGTGCCTAAAGATATTAGTTATAATCCTCTTACTCAGCCATGTGATACCAACTACTGGGATAAGTCATTAATCACAATATTAGTTTTATTTATGTCATAAAGACTTGTTAACTCCAGTAATGTCCTGGGAAAAGGGCTGCTGAGGAATCAAAGAAGAAATAAAAAAGCTATCAAGTTTCATTCTGTATCCATCTGTATAAAATGCAGGCCTTAAAACTCAGGGCAGTATGCCAGCATGGAATTGGCAATTTTAATTGTATAGTTAGTATGAATAGCATAGATAACTCTTTTATATTTGGTTGTATTACTACTTGCATCCCAGCCCCTGAAAAAAATAAAGAGTACATTTGAGTGTTTATAAATACCAGTTGACTAATGATAAACATTATTATTATATCCTTTAAATACTAGAGGCAAAATAGATGCAACCATTGATTAGAGCAGGGGTGATTTGGTATCAAAAGCAAAGTACTGGGGAGGGAAATCCTTCCTCTCCCTGTGTATGTGAAAAGCACCAATTTTCCTTTTAGTGCAGTTAATTTAATGTTTATCTGCTTTGATTTTGAAAGCAAATTTCTACCATTTTGAAAGAGAACTATTTTAGTGCCTTCTCTGTGCTTTGAATTTGAACCTTGGGAAGGGTTTTATTTTAATAAGTATGAGATGAAGTGTGTTTCTCTGCACCTTCTGAGGCTGATGAGTAATCAAATGAACGGGAGCACTTCATCAGGCTGGCATTTTATAGTATGTTCGTTTTTTTGTCTGCTTTACATTATCATTCTGCTGAAAGAATCATGGTCTAGAAGGCCAGGACAGAGCTGTTCTGACTCCACTGGATTTTTCTTCTTGAAAGAAAAAGGTAATGAAGTGTCTCAGTACTAGGAACAAACACCAGAAGTATACCTATTGAGAATAGGTGTGCTGAGGGGCAAGATGCTGTTGAAAGAATATCCTTGTGTGACTGCAAGTATTTTTGAATGTTTCCTGCTATATAAATGGGGATCTAGCTGGTCCATCCTAAAATGATTGAAATGGCAATTGTTGCTCTTCAGCAGTATTTGTCTAAGTCGTGCTATTTGTCAGGGGTGGATTAGCAAGGTCTACAGAGAGTTTCTGAGGCAGGAATTCATCTGAACTTGCCCTTCAACATATTTCCCAAGTTGTCTTTATTGGACCTCTTCACCTGAAGGTATTTTGATTCATTGGCAGAGGGTTATACTAAACGTAGGTACTGTCTGAATGCTGTAAATGTGTGCAATATATAAATGCTTCTTCCTGCCAGAGGAAGGAAGACGGCATCTTCCTGCCTGTAGGAGTTAATTGTTTTTCTTGCACTAATGCCAGAGTTTTTGGCTTTCTGCAGAAGAGGCACCGTCTGAAATCCCACAGGATAATATTTCAGTTGAATGGATTGGGGTGGAAGGTTGGCGGAAGGGGAGCAGAGAAAAAAGCTATAACGTCTGACATGGATTGGAATGCTTCTGGTGGGAAGAGCTGTTTGAAGATTCTATTATGGCTGTGGTTATAGTATTGTGTTACTTATCTCCTTTAGTCTGTCCTGGGTAAACACCCCAAATTAGAAGAAGAATATCTGGATTTCTGCCACATGTTCTCATATTGATTAGATACTCCATTAAAAAACCAAACTCCACATAATTCTGTCATCCCTGAATGGCTCAGCCATGTGGTTAATTCCTGTGCTTTTGTATATTAAATACCTATCCTCTGCTCAGAACTGGAACATTTTAGCACAGTTACTGAAACAGGAGCTGTAGGCATGGTTTCCTGGACAAATCTCGATCTCCTTGATTATTTTGCTTGTCCTTTGTATTTGATTTATAGTTTATTTAAACCTTGTTCCCATGAGGCTGATACATTTCTGGTATTGGATTTATATTTCTTTTTTAAAAGTAATAATGTCATCAAATCAGCTGTGACTTGCATCTTGTGTTTTCTTTCAGAACTAAAGAGAGTATGTATCATGCACTGACTTATGCCACCATACTGGAAATGCAAGCAATGATGACATTTGATCCTCAGGACATACTGAATGCAGGAAACACAATGAAGGAAGCTCAGGCTACTTGCCAAAAGTAAGCGTGGAGCAATTCAGTCAATAAATGTGCCCTTCATAGGAAAGTTTTGAAAGAGATACAGGTTAAAAAAGGACATGTTCTATAGAAATTGTGGAAAACTGAAGTTGGAAGGGACATCAGGAGTACCTCTAGTCCAGCTGCCTGTTCAAAGGAGGGTCAGTTATGAGGTCACACCACATAACTTTGGGTTTTCAGCAGTCTGGTCTTGAAAACTTCAGTTTACTGCAATATTTCTTGTCAGTTAGGTTTTTGTTCTGTCAGGAGCCCTGATTCTCCAGTGTCTGGAGGTTATTTACCGTTTACAGACACTGCAAAGTCTTCCCATTTGGTGATAGTAGTACTGTAGCTAGCTGTGTGTGAGTGAGCTGTGCTTCCACTTCTGTACACACATGAGCACATATAAAAGAAATCCAAAAGCCCCCTTGTCCCCTTTCTTCATCAAGACAGATTTCCACACGTGAAGGGTGAAAGACAGATCCTGGGACCATGTTGGCTATGCTCTGTACGGAATGTGATGAAGTTTGTGTATATGGTAAGATGGCAGAGGGTTGAGCACTGGAGGTGTGTTAGTGACTCTCTGGGTGGCCAGCTGAAAGATACTGTACTCTGTTGTTGATGCTTTGTGTTCTTCACAATGACCAAATTGCCTTTTCTGCAGATTTAGGAAGAAATCTACAGTAGCTGATTCTATCAACAACCTTGTGCATAGACAAAGCCTTGAACACTTCACTGAAGGTAACATTGTCTCTAACGTGTTACTCCGTTACTCCTTTTACTTTTTACTCCTTCCCCCCCCTTTTTCTCTTTTCTTTCTTTAATTTGAATTGTGTAGTATTGTTCACCCAAATGGCTGATTTGGCAGTTGCTGTGTCGCCATATCCAAAATCACTAACTGATTTTGTTGATTGCTGCCTTGGCATTTCCAAAAATGAGGAACCTAGAAAGAACTAATAAAATGCCTACAAAGGTTCTAGATCCAGGAATTCCTGGAAAACACCAGAGGAATTCCTGCAAAGGTTCTGTAACTGTGTGTTGTTTCTGCTTGGAAACTACTGTTCCAGTAATCTAGGACTGAAAAACACTGCAGCAAATTTGGAAAGGTTTTTGCTCAGTTTGAGCTTTGTGATGTTCTTCCTGTATTAATGGGCTAAGTGGTTTTTCATGACTTTTTATGGGATTGATTTGTTTTCTTTCCCCCTCTGTGTGACACTAGAGGAAATCCATGCAGAAATTTGCTATGCTGAATGTTTACTTCAGAGAGCAGCACTCACATTCCTCCAGGTATGGATTCCTGCATGGCTCTTTGGGGGGAAAAACACCATACACATTTCTTAAAATGAAGGACATGGTAGAAGACCATAATTTGACCTAATGGTGTAGGACTCTTTTAACAGGATTAAATCTTGTGATGGGATAGTAGAATGCTTTTGTTAAACAGTGCTGCCTGTCTTTGAGAGAAGGGGAGCTCTACCTCTTCTTTGAATTTTGTCTATCTAAACAAATGAAGCTTGATTTGTTTGCTGGTTCAACATTAGCAGTACTTACTTGGGCTCAGGTTTGCAACTGAAACTGTTAATCATAGTTGAAGTAACTGATTTTTCTTCTTGATGTGACTGCACTTGCTATATGACAGTGGGATCTCTTCGTCTGTGCAAAAGGGACAATAAAAGTCACATTCACAAAGGGCTTCTGCTACTTGGCTCGAAGATGCTGATAGAGAATGAAATCCAGGTGGTGATTTTATAGTGTTTGGGAACTGCCAGATGGGCTCTGACTGAGGTCGCCTATAAACCATGTAACCTTTTTCAGTGACCTGTCATGCCCCTCCTCTAGAAACTATTGCTTCATAGCAAAACCAGTAATCAGAGTAGCTTCTCCTGAAGACTTTTAGGGTGCTGATGATGGTGACTTCATGGTAAGATGCAGGACTTTGAAATGGCCATGGTGTAGCTCCCTATTTCCATATTCCTTTGGTTTGAGTAGCCTTTAGCACTGGGGACAGTTTGCGACAGCTGTGGAAGCACGGTTTTTCAGAACTCGTTGTGTCTGTAAGAAAGGAGTGTTTTAATTCGGTGTCTCTTGGTTTTAAGCACTATTTTAGCAGATACCTGCTTTTAAAAGTGTTCATAGATACATGAGAGATTTGAGAGTAAGAAAATGATTTCTTGTCCTCTTCTGCGCAAAGAATGTCTGTTCGCTTCCTCTTCTGTGTTTAATGTTTCATGAACGGGTTTTAAGAATTAAACAGGCACTTGGTTCCAACAGCTGTTGCAGTGGGTTAGGCGTGATGCTTAACAAAAATGACCAAATCCAGTTGAAAACACAGAAAAATTAGTCTCAGGATTTTTCAAGGGCTGGACTATTCTCATGTCAGTTATCTCTGTTGTTGGTATAATGAGTATTCTGAATTTAAGCATTTGAGAGCCATCTTGTTTCCTCTTTCAATTTGCCATTCAAAGGAAAATATAACTGAATCTTTAATTATGGTTAGGTATGCAGTACACCCCCCTTCCCCCCCCCAGTTGCTAATTAAAAACTGATTTTTGCTTGTGATTGGGATTCACATGTGTGGGGATGTATCCTCAGGAATTGTATGTTCATATATGGTGCATAGTTTCTGTCCTCAGCAATCACAATAACATTGCTTAAGAATGACTTTAAAGGACACAGGTCTTGTTGCAGGCTGCAGGAGTAGTAAGCCCCTGCCCTTCAGTTCCAGCCATCAGGCTTCCTATGGTAGGTCATAAAAAGCAAAGTCTGGAAGAAGTTGAGCTGTGATGGTTGGATCAAGTTATTTTCCTTACGGCAGATGGAAAGCACTTTGAGGCAGGTTCTGTCTCTTTGTTTACATGTCAGTGAGCACAGTTGGGCCCTGTTTCTTTAACAATAACAGCAAAACTACCAGATGTTCATCTAATCTATGGTATATTCCCCACAATGCTTCATACAGCCTCTTAAAATACCATCACAAAACCCGTCTGCTAAAACACATGTATTCTTCCAGTCTCAAACTAATAGCAGATATCAAAACAAACCAGAATGACAGGTTATATTTGATGGGTGAGGCAAGAAACTGCCACCAAAAGTTACAAGGCTAAAGAGTTCTCTCTTTGGAGTATAGCTGTAAACTAATGGTCCCCCAGACACACTTTGCTGCAAGTTCTCAGTTTGTTATAGTTTGTAATGTAACATATTACTATGCTAGTGTGGATCTCATAGATATCTGAGTATTCAGACCAGAGAGAGCATATCCAGCATAACTCTACTTACCCTGCTTCCTTTTCAGGATGTAAAACCATATTCTTTAGACTCCGTAGGACAGGCTGTTATTTGTATCTGGTGTTGAGCCAGGAAATGTTCACATCTCTACTGTGCTGAAGGACAAATGAGAGACAGCTATTTTTTGAAAGCCACAAATTCATACTACCTTAGGTACCATTCATTAGCTTAGTAACTGCGTCCATTAATCCAAACTCAGGTGTTCCAAAGGTTACAGGGGGCTAAACTAATCACAGAAGGCATCAAAATGAATTGCGTATGTGTGAACAGAATAAATAATATTTTAATATAGAAAGGAAATCCTAGATCCCTGTATTGTTTCTCAGAGACTAGCATGGTCTGTGTCATGATGGTTATGTTTAAGGCATGTGCTCATATGAAGAAGACGAAAGCCCTTTATAATGCTTACAGTTCATGTTGCTAATGTGTTTCCATTCTAACAGGATGAGAATATGGTTAGCTTCATTAAAGGAGGCATCAAAGTCCGAAACAGTTACCAAACATACAGGTGAGTCGGAGTGCTGATGTGATGAAGTGTACTCTTTCACTATAAAGTGTTGCTGGGCAAATTGTCCAATTCACAAATAATTACTGTGGTATTCATGGCAGCCTTTATTATGGGCCCCATGTCTATAGGGTTTCTCAGCCCAAATTCCTCCTTTGCATGACAAAGGACATTGATATTATGGTTGATTTGTATTGTAAAGATAGTGGACCCTAACCCTGTTAACTCCCAAGTTTTGCCTACTTCAAGTACTGTATACTTGAAATTATGTCAAAAAATGACTGTTCTAAATGATATAGTGGTGTGTGTCAGCATGGTGCAATTTTGATGTCTCGCAGTCACTGAGCATGTGAAATGGCGTTTCTTTGTAGTTCTAGCTACGGCTTTTTGGAACATTCAAAAGCAGTAGTTGAAGCAGAAGTAATTCCATAATAAATGCATGAAACTAAAACAAAATGAAGAGACAATAAATTGAAGTATAAAGGGCTTCAAGCAAAGATTAAACAAATTTACAGGAAATAGGCTTATGGGGGCTAGTTACCATAGTAAAACAGATGCAGTTTCTCTGGGTCATGAAGTCCCTGAACAGTCAATTCCTAGATGATGTTTTTTCCAAACATATGCCATTGAGTGAATTATTTGCTTAGCTGGACTTTTAATCTGGTTAAGTATGACAGTTGTTCTACTCTGAAGGTGCATGCTATTGAAAATGATAAGCAGGGCTGCTTATCTGACCTCACAACATGCCTATTACTCAGTGTCTACAAGCCAAAAACACGTACTTAAGCAGATTTCTTTTCATCCAGGAAGCTGGGGAGAGCTACTTTCAACATGTGCAAAAGGTTTTGAAGTGCAGTAGTAAATCCTAAAAATTACATTAAACTGGGCAGCACACTCAGTTGTGCTTCAGTAAATTAAGACCAGCTCTAGTATATTTAAAAACAAAGTGTTATAAATTTAGTAGTTCTTAGGTGGTCTTCAAAAGAATGCTAATAGCAACTTGCTTTGTACTAAAACATGTATGTTAACAAAGGAGAAGTTTGTGTGTGCAGTTGGCAGTTACAATTGTTGGACTGTACCTTTGATGTGGGAAGAAAGAATTGTTTGCAGCATTGGCGAGAGTGTGTGCAACAGGTTACAGAGAAAACACTGGAATATGGAAACGAGACTTTATTTGCTTGGATTGATCAGTATTGTTTACAACATAGCTTTCATATAAGAAGCTGTCTTTCCTTTCGCCACTGTTAGCAGTTGCTGTTTGGTAATCTGCAGCAAGAACCATTAAAAGACAGGAGGAATAAAGGTTGCAAAAATACAATTTTTATCAATTTACAAGTCCTTTTCAGGGAGGAAAGGTTACCATACACTGTAAAAAAGATGGAATGAGCTAAAATGGTCATTCAGATTAAAACATTTGCTTATTTTCAGTGAATAAAAGAAAACTTTCACAGTAATACAGACTTGTATGAATAATTTGAAGAAATGAAAGCTAAATGTGCATCATATTTTGTTGCATTGTAGGACTTGAAATTTGGACTCAGCCACAAAAAGTCACATCTAGCAGATACAAAAGAGCATCCAGTCCAGGTTTTCCATAAGTATACTGAAAGGGGGAGAGATGACAGTGTCCATAGTTGTGTGGGTTGAAGGCAACTCTAAATGCAGGTCCATTGTAAAACTTCATTTATAACAAATATTGCTTTATCTGCTGGCAACAAGCAGTAGATAAAAACATGAGAGCCTGAATGCAAATATGTGGCTGCCATTTAAAAAGGTTTTTTTTCCTTCTCCTGGCAATTAACAAAATGAACTAAAACAATAGTGTGAAAAACACATAGCTAAAGAAAACTTGGAGACAAAACAGGTTCAAATCCATCTGGATTGCACAGGGAAGTAAAGGGATACTACAAAGTTGAGATCTAGAAAAGGTAGAAAAATCAGCAAAAAGTAATTTCGAATATACCTGCCCTTTTAAAAATATTTCTTACTGTTTTCCTATATATAATAAAATGTTCTTTTCAGTGAACATGAGGAAGAAGGGAATACCTTCAGGGATTAGTGAAACTCAGATCCAGTTTGCTAATTTAAATTTCACTCTCCTACACTGCCCCATCATCTCTTTTCATATTAGTAGAGGTTTATATTGCTCCCAGCAGCCATTCTTGACACATTTTCAGGCAGAAATGTGGTTGCAAATTGACTATGTCAGTTTGACAGAAATTAATCTCCAGGACTCCATATTTTTGAACTGGTGGTAGTGTGACAGAAATAATTTGTCGATAGAGCCAACAAAATGTTTGTTCACCTGAGTGAGATGACAGACTTTGAACGCCTGTGTAGTTCAAGGTGACTGGGTTACTTTCTTTCTGAATTGTAATCCATCATTTTATTTATTGAGAATGTAACAGATCCCTGTGCATTTGCAGGGAGCTGGACAGTCTCATACAGTCTCCACATTATGTCAAAGGAGAGAACCATCTTCATTTTGAGGGAGGTGTAAAACTTGGAGTTGGAGCATTTAATCTGGTACGTACCAAGAGTTCTTCTCTTGAAGTCCTGCAGCCTCCTGAAAATGATTCTTAACACCTAAGAAGTTCCATGAACATCACTGTTGCTAATTGTATGGTTATAGGATGTGCTCTGACACAGGATCCTCATCTCTGCTCTCAGAATGTCAGACAGTAGTACACTTTAGAAATAGACTGCTACTTGCAGCATGGGCAGCACTGCTTTGTGTGTGCAGACCCACTTGTGCATCCTCATGGGGAGATTATCAACTGAGAAGTTATCTCATCTGATACGGGCTTAAGGGCATGTTCTTTGAGAATATAGCTGAGTGCCTGAGCTCAGCTTCCAGTAAAGGTGATCATTAGCCAAGTGACCAATGATTGGGAGGTGCTTGGAGGGGAAGGTATTATAGTCTCATGAGAAGTTACAAATTAGGATGGGGGCCAGGAGAAGCCTTGCTCAGAAGCAGCAGTTGCCTGTGCTTATTGACTTCCATGTACTGTTTAATTGGCACTTGGGAAGCAAGCAGGGACCTGGCTGTTAGCAGGGCAGTATTTCTGAAGCATCCAAGAAGTACTGGAGTTACTAAGTGCTGTGTAAACATATTTCTGTGCAAGCAATCTTGGAGACACAGGTTCCCTATATTAAACAGGTACTTTTGTTTAAGTTGTGTGTAAAATATAGTAGGTGTGCATATTTGGCCAGAAAATAGTCAGACATAAAGATGTTTTTGGTAATTTCAGTGTTTGGAAAAGTTGTAGGGGACAGCGGGTAGCTGAGAGGCATACAGTGCATTACTGCATAACTGTTGCATTTCTTTCCATAGACATTGTCCATGTTTCCTGCACGGATACTGAGATTGCTGGAGTTTGTTGGGTTTTCTGGGAACAAGGTAAATGTGAACTAAGTATTGGTACATTCCTCTCACTCTTAAATTATGAACTGAGACAGGAGCTTCTCTCTTCTTCCTCATGTTAGCTCAGTAGAGGCAAAAATCAAATAGTTCTATATGTCAGTTACGACAACAAGCCAACTAAAGCAAAATACTCTCCTAGAAATGTAAGAGCAGTTCATGTACCAGCAGGGTTCTGAGAACACTTTGCTGAACACTCCTCTTATTACTGCAGATGAAAATTGTCCCTCTAATTGAATTTGTGATGTTTTCTTTGGGCCCTGGGATTTCTTGTATGGGTATGAGTGGGCTGATATTTGTGTTGATGAGTCAGCTCCTATTCCAGTCTTTTTAATAACTCACTGAAGCATGACCTATGTTATCATAAATCTAAGTGAAACCCTGCTGTCTGCACACCATAAATTATGGAGTATTTTAAACATGTTGCTCAAAGTTCATTGATGAGCATTTACTTTAGCGTCCTAAAAAGGTCTTTTTGCATTTACCATTGGTGAGTCAGATGTCTAAAGCCAAAAGCAGAACTGAAATTTCATTTTCAATCATTTTGAGTGGTGATTTTCCAGAGCTTGCAAGAAGCTGTCCCCTGCAGTACAGGCAGGAGTCTGGAAGGTAAAAGAAACAGTGACAGAGGAGGAGAGGGAAAGGAGTTTAGAATATGTCTGTATTTGATCTTTAAATCTTTTCCATTAAATGCTCATGGTGAGCATCAGATTGTGCAAGAGACAAAAGAGCCATGGTTAGTGCCTTGAGCTGTTTACAGTTTATCTGAGAGAGGTGCAGAGCACTGGAAGGCACCTTGCTTTTGGTGTGGGTCATGTGTTTATCAGAACTGGATTTAAAATTGCATTGTGATATCTTCCACAATACCAGTCTGCCTTGGAGCCAGCAGATTTACCCCTAGGGACTCTTCTTGTCTCTCAGACATGTCGTGTCTGATAGTAAATGAGGACATGCCCAAAGCTTCATTACTCCCAAAGCCATTTGTAGGCACTGTGGACAACATGATCAACTTAACAGCAGTCTGGAGTCTCAAAATAGTAGGTAGGGATAAGATCAAGAAAGTATAAAAGTAGCCTGAGGCCATGATTGTTCCCTTCCAGTCCAACAGGTGCCAGTTGTGCTTGTCTCTCTGTTTAAGCTCTGTTCCCCTGTATCGTTAGTCAAAATACAGGCTTATTTGTATTTAATAGCATAGGACCTGTGTTTGGGCATTTAGGTTCAATGCAGTTTTGCCCAATTTTGTAAGAAGTTTTTTGTGGGCAGAGGTTTGTGGTACACACCATCAGGTACACTGTCCTGGGGAGGCTGGCCTTCCTCACTCACTGGGCAGTAAGTGGGGCACGTGTTCCATCTGGACTTTTTGTGTTTAATGATAACTAACTTCTGATGTGAGATCAGAAGAGTCCTTGCACTATCTCCCATGTAAGCACTGAACTGTTCTTACTGACTCCTCTGCCTAGTCTCAGGCTAAATATTTACTCTCATTTTATAGGCAGTTACAAATACTGTGCTGCTAAACTGTGAAGAAGTTTGACATGAGCAATTTGTCAGGGGGTCGATGACAGCATGATTTCAGAGCAGGAAAGCTTTCAGATAGAACCACTGTCTTTTAAATTGTACTGTTTGATGTGGGAGGACACTTTTCCTAAAGCAGCTGAGCTGAAGAATATTTTTGATATGTCAGTTTGGAATACATGGGTTCCAGTTCCCCACTAAAGCATCTTTTTGAATTGCATCTTGGTCTCTTCTCCACATTTTAAATGAAGACTAAATCTAAAATGATACATTCAAATGTGCTGTCTACCAGTTTAATTACTATCCATCTTCCTTGCTAAACCTGCAGTAAAATGATCAGGTCATGGGACATGACCTTGCTTTGCTTTCCTTGTCAGGATCCATAATTAAAAGGGAGTGAGCTCAAAATATCATTAAAAAGCATTCACATCAGAAAAGTAGATGGATTTTAGTCAGTGGCAGCTAAAATAAGTATGAATCAGTATCAGCATTGTCTGATAATGATTTTGAGCATTGTCCTTGTTCATCCCGCATTCACTATGAGGAATCCCCACTGCTCATATGGGGAGTCCTGAATGACAGAGCACTGGATGTCCTGGGACAAGGATCAAATCAGTAAGATACCAGTGTAACATAGTGTGGTGACAATCTTGGGAATTAAGAGATTGTGAGATGTTATGAGCAACTTGCGAAGGAAGGTGAGAGTTAGTGTACTGGATCACATTAATCATAGAATCACAGAATAGTTAGGGTTGGAAAGGACCTTAAGACCATCAAGTTCCAACCCCCCTGCCATGGGCAGGGACACCCCACACTAAACCATCTTACCCAAGGCTCTGTCCAGCCTGGCCTTGAACACCACCAGGGATGGAGCATTCACAACTTCCCTGGGCAACCCATGCCAGTGCCTCACCACCCTCACAGTAAAGAATTTCTTCCTTATAGAATCATAGAATAATAGAATAGTTAGGGTTGGAAAGGACCTTAAGATCATCTAGTTTCAACCCCCCTGCCATGGGGGTATCTATATCCAATCTAAACTTCCCCTGTTTAAGTTTTAACCCATTACCCCTTATACCTTAATTCCCTTCAGAGTAACTTACATTTTCGGTGAAAACAAAACCTAAATGTGTTAATTTCATTTAAATATTTTGGAGAAATTATGAGAATTTACTGCCTCGACATCTGTTTTATATTGCAGCAATATGCCCTGTAATAGACTTTTGTTTGGAAGCTCCTTCCTGGTGTTCTGGGATTGCTCATATCACCTGTGGCATAGGTGTGGGAGATATTTATGGGTTATTTATGGTTAGAAGGTGTGTCCTAACAATTAAATGTAATATACTCACTTAGTGACTGGCACCAGGGAGTGTAGTTTGCATACAGAATTCCTCCTTAGGCTCAAGTAGTAGCTGCCTGTGATTTGTTTCTGAGATACTCATTTGATCCCCAGCAAGTATTACATGGAGGTATTGCCCAGCTCATGACACCTCTCTTAGCTGATTAGGTTTGCTGGCTAATCTCCTTAGGCTCCCTATGGAGAAAGAGTAGGTGCTTGAAAAGGTGATTCATGTCTGACCTTAGGCTTCTATGCTGAATTGTTCCTTGGAGGAGTACCTCTGAGTCCACAGCCACAGAGGGAGCCTAGGGAGGCTGGCTGGCTGAGCATGGTATCTAAACAATTTAAGCAGCAACGCCATCATCTCGCTTTTCTGGGGATCTCATCCTAACAGAACCAGTTTGCAAGGGTTTTTTTGAGGAAAAGCAGCTTTGTTGCAGCCTTTTCTATACACAGATGTGTAGTACTAATAGCAACACCTTCCAGATTTCTCTTTTACAGACTGATTATATTGTAACTTTAATATAGAAAGGTTGGGGTATTCAAGTGGCAGAGTGAAAAGTAAGCATTGTTTAATACCTGTGCTGGACAAAACAGGATTATGGACATACCACAGAGAGAACTAACTTGCTCGGTGAGTTTCCCATACCTGTGCAACTACTCAGCTTTAGGGTCAAGTGTGCCAGGTTTGCATCCTTCTGATGAATGGGCAATGTTCTTAATCCGGTTACTTCACAGTGACTGCTTTCCAGGATGAAGTCCCACGCAAGGAGGGTGCAGGTTGCATTCTTTGTTCATAGAGATGATAACTTTGTGTTTGCCTGTATTAAAATGCATTTTTGAGACTAAAATACATGAGATCAACTCAACAAATTATTGCGTTATTCCATATGAGTAATAAAAATTGTTTCTGTATCATTCTTAGTGCTAGTCACAGATGTGATCAGCATTCTTTTTATGTGTGTTTTTCTATTATATGGAAGATAATGACTGTAAACACTGTTAAGTGCTGGTACTGATGTCAGTAAAGGCTCAGTGGAATATCCACCCTGAAGATTTTTCACTTCAGAAAAATGTACTTTGGAAATCTACTTTGGGATTTTTTTTGCCAAAATTCATTCCATAGAATGTTTTGTCTTCTCCCTTGCAGTGCTCTAGTGCTGGGTTTTAAAATCCACATATTTGTGGGTTTCATCTGGGCAGTTTAAAGAAGCTGAATGCATCATATTTTATTACTTATCTGCATCAATCAAACTTTTGCTCTTTGCAGTAATTGCAGTTGGCTTTATTTTGCAGAGTGCTTGATTTCCATTATTGTCTCTGATTTTCAGTAGTGATTTTGCTAGCTTTTAATCTCTTCTGAAGTGACATGCAAGTCGGTATTATCATTATTTTGCCGTGACTAAATGTTGCACTAATTGACCTGCAGATATGTTTGTTAATTACCTTTCCCTGTAATTAATACAATAAACTGAGATTTATGGAAAACCCCACCAAGCAGCTGTATGTGTGTGAAAACACAACCACACTAGTTAAGTGAAGAAGTGCATGTTTGATGAAAATTAGAATAAGTGTGAGGTAATGTAACACTCTTCTGTTGTCAAGGACAAACAAAAGATTAAAATCTGTGTTGAGATGATGCTCTGAGTGCTGTTCTGATACCTCCCACAGTGGCTCCAATAGGCATCCCTCAGGGTCCCTATTTATAGTGTAGCTGGTTTGAAAGGATGTCCTTATAGACACATACATCATGTTCCAGTAACTTTCCATTGCAGTCAGAGTGTAAATTTGAAACAGAATTTTCCCTAGCACACAGGGGATATCTCACTGTGCATATTTACTAGTAGGCAGATCTCATGCTTAATACTTTTGCATATTTATATTATAGAATCATGATAGAATAGTTAGGGTCGGAAAGGACCTTAAGATCATCAAGTTCCAACCCCCCTGCCATGGGCAGGGACACCCCACACTAAACCATGTCACCCAAGGCTCTGTCTAGCCTGGCCTTGAACAACGCCAGGGATGGAGCATTCACAACTTCCCTGGGCAACCCATTCCAGTGCCTCACCACCCTTACAGTAAAGAACTTCTTCCTTATATATATTCATGCTGTTGATCTCATGGAACCAGTTCTAGAATGGGCTGCTGAATGCTGTGGCCTCAGGAGCTTGGATCCTTAAAGCTGGTTATCCATCATGCTCTCACTGAATATAAATACACTGTATACTTGATTGCTTTAGTTCTTCCCAAAGGGAACAGAATATTCTTTTTCATCATATTTTTCCACTTGTAGTAGTGGGACAGAATCATTGCAAAGCTCCTTTTGTTCTTGGCATGCTTAAAAAATTCCTTTTGCTCTGTCATCTTTTGTCCTGCTAGTTGCAGATTTTATTTCTTTTCTTGATATCTATAACTTGCTTCTGCAGTGAATAACAACAAACATGGATAGGCTGCACAATGGTGATATGCACTATTGGCCTTGCCTTTCAAAACTGGGGGGTTTTGTTTCTGGAATGCTGTTTAGCAGCACTTGGATGGTGGTGATAAGTTGTCTCACATTCTCTTACATTAACCATGCAGTACATCCCAAGTTGCTGCTCTGTCATCAGATGTTTTTCAGGCTAACTTTGTAGAATCCTGTTATATATGTGTATTTTTGTCTTTGATCACTGTGTAAGCAGTGTATGTCAGTGCATTTTGGGATTTTGGTGAGTGAGCAATTTCTAGTTGATATTGCAGAAGTTAAGCTAGCAAAACACAGCTTTGTTTCTTGTCCAATACTTTGTCCTCTTCACCTCTGTTTTCACAGGAGCATGGTCTGCTGCAGCTTCAAGAAGGAGCATCATCGTACAGCTTTAGGTCGGTGCTGTGTACCATGCTGTTGCTTTGCTATCATACTTTCATGACCTTTGTGTTAGGTAAGATTGTTTATAATAACTCTTGGTTTTGATTAGTTCTTGTGGGACACGGGAAAAAAGTGATTCCATCACCTCTTTGGTGGTGAATTGTTCATGACCAGATTAAATGTAATTCATTTGTGGGTAATTTTACAGTAGTGATTATTATATATTCACAATATATAACTCACAGTATATATTATAATTCACAATATATATTATAATCACAATACTGAATTGAAGAGAATGTCTTAATCTTCAAGATGGAGGTTTGTTTCACACATAAGAAGGGAGACAATGGGGATAGCAAAAGAAGTTGAGAACATTAAATCTGTCTTCAGTACTCAGGTACTTTATTGGGGAAGTTAAAATAATGGTTGTGAGTGATAACTTCCCAAATACTTTCTTCATGTTTATGTTGTCCCTAACTTTTCTGGGAGGTGATAGCTTCCCACTGAGACGTATCTCCCTGTTATCTCCTGCTAAAGCATTCTACAAAATGTGTTTGTCTGTGCATAAGTGGATTTTCAAGTCATTAAACACAGTGGTGTTCAGGTGTTCCTGCTTGTTGGCTTTAGTCAACTCCAACCTGTATTTATGCCTTACTTATTGAGAAAGGACTCACGTGTTGGCCGGATGAGGATGGCTAATCAGTACCTTGCATTCTTGTTTTGTTGTTGTTTTCTTTACTATTTATTATCACTTGCATTTTTATGCATTCTAGGGACAGGAAAAGGAAATGTAGAGGAGGCAGAAAGACTACTCAAGCCTTACTTGGCACGCTATCCAAAGGTAAAATGAATCATTATTTAATTTGGTGTGACTGTTCAATGTTTTTTTGCCAAACAACAAAGATCTAGACTGTGTGGTCAGATTGAAAACTGTTGTAGAATACTTGTATTTTTATTATTATTTATTACAGGGAGCCATATTCCTGTTTTTTGCAGGCAGGATAGAAACGCTAAAGGGTAATATTGATGCGGTAAGTAATCCTTTTGCTCTTGGGAAAGTAAGTTTCAAAAACTTTAGAAAAACTCCTCCAGGAACAGTGTTTCCTTTTTGGCTAATGCTTCCTGTAGCTTTTGCCTATGGATAGTTTATAGACTATGAATTACAGCTATTTTGAGTGCCTTGTTTGACCAGCTGGTTTTGCTGCCCTTCTCAGTTTCAAGTGATAATCTAGTCCACCAGTATTAATGGCACAGTTTTCTCACTGTCTTTCCTATTCTGAATCGAGTTGTGCCATTAATAATATCCAGTGGTAATCGTTTGCCTTCAGTCTGATTTGGAGAGTCATACAAGACTTGAAAGAATTAAGGAGATGAAGAAGGCATGTCCAGAAAATTCTGAGAGTATTAGCTGGTATGCAGTGTGGTAGCTCCCTTGGAATCTTTGGAGCTGCAGCAATAAACGTCAGCTGGGAATCTGTCCTCTGCCTTTAGTTTCCTAATTTCCCTAGACACGAACATTCATTTTGCCTGTGCTTAAAACTTAATACAACTTCCAGGAAAGGGGAGGTTTGTGCCAGGGATAGACTTGCTAACACCAGAACGGCTGTAGATGCATGAATCTCTTGTGTGAACCCAACAGATGTGATTTTGGGGAATACTGGATTTTTACTAATTTGGAAGTTGCAAGAGCCATGCTGGCAGATCGTGGTGCCCCAATGTCTATTACAGCATTGGTGTATGTGCATTTACACATGATTAAAGCAGCGTTTGGAAATCTCTGTTCAGGCAGTTAACAGGTATGAAGAATGTTGTGAGGCTCAGCAATACTGGAAGCAGTTTCATCACATGTGTTACTGGGAGCTCATGTGGTGCTTCACCTACAAGCGCCAGTGGAAGATGGCTTTCTTCTATGCGGACCTGCTGAGCAAAGAAAACACTTGGTCAAAGGTAAGTTAAACAAAACAGAATGGAAGGCCCTGTGGTATCTATTAACTTTCAATCAGATTCAGTTTTTGTAGCTTTGAAGCTTTTATAGCCTTGAAGGTAAAGATTGTAAAACAAAGCCTGATCTGCTGTGGCTTTACTGAACAATGTGAATTGCAACCATTCAAATCTGACCAGATTGTGGGCAGACAGAAATCTTTTGGGTGTGACTTGTAGATGAAGAACAGCTCGTTAAAGGTGTTCTGCTGTGTACTGACTGTGTCATCAGCACATTGCAATTAGTGGCACAAGTTGCCATTTCTTTCACTGCATTATGGAAATAAGCTCTTTTGGTGATGAGCGAGACTAGCCATGATGGTGCCTCCAGGATAATAAATGTAATTAGAAGAGGCGCCTTGCCTTGTGTGTCTGAAAGAGAGAAGCTCTTCCATCCAGAACCTTCCATCCTCCTTTTGTCTTCCCCTGAGCCCCAGGGAAATCTGTCAGAAGGGATTAAGTCTGGCTGGGGGTGTAGGTGGTTCATTGGTTGTTTGTTTCTTCTTAATGTGGTCAGGCTATGTGTATAGGGAGGGTATCTCTACTTTTCTACCATGCATGGTATGTATTGGTCAAGTGGAATCAAAGCCAACGTAAGGTCCAAGTAGACAGGTGAGATCGACTCTCTCAGTACTCCCACTTAGGTGAAAACTGCAGTTATGGACTCCCTGTGCCCCTGGGGACTCCAACAGCACATTCAGCTGGGTGCATTATTCTGAATAGCTCCCACAGAACTCCCACAGGCAGAGGTGCACCACCCGGCTTAAAAGCATTAACATCCTGTGGGATTAATATTAGCATGTGTCCTTTTAAATTGTGTGTAGTTTTAGATTGTGTTGCAAGGGCTTTAGAGAAGATGCTTTCTATATATAATCTACAGTGCAATGTGATAGTAGCAAACTAGTAACTACATGAGCTAAATGAAAGATGGTCTTGTATACGCACTGTTAGATTCCAGTGTAAATAAATAATCACATCTTAGAGTATTCCAGAAAACTCCTGAATTTTGTGGTTATTGTATACTCCTTAAACAGTAATCAAGAACTCACCGTTATTCTCTACTGTTGTGAGAGTTGTAACATTCTCTGCTGCTTTGTTTTCCTTCAGTGTTTCCTTTGTTGCTGAATGTATGATTGTTCAGGAATCCCTATGAAGTCAGTACTTTTCATAACTAATGAAATCATGAAACCCTTCATAGAATCATTCTATGAACGTTGCACTTGACATCCCTGGCCAGACTGAATTCTCTCAAGCCTTTAGCTTTCCTAACCTGATCCCTGGCTGCTTGGACAATTTCTCTGTATTCATCCCAAATTACAGGTCCTTGCTTCCACCCTCTTTAGGCTTCCTTTTTGTGCTGGAGTTTGTTCAGGAGCTCCTTGTTCACCCACAAAGGCCTCCTCACATTTTTGCCTAACTTCTTCTTCGTTGGGATGCATCATTCCTGAGCTTGGAGGAGGTGATCCTTGAGTATTAGCAGCTTTCATGGGCCCCTCTTACCTTTTCACCAGCATGATATTTGTTCTTGGAATGTGGACGTAAACTATAAGCTGATACAAAGTAAACAGAGATGTCCATGATAAAAACCAACAGCCCTGTACTCCATTTCCTAAAATACTTACCTCCTGCTTAAAATTTGGTGAGATCCCATCTGTGAGCAGAAGCAGCAATTTCTTCCTCTTTGTTGCTGTTTTATGCTTTATATCAATAATGGTGATGCTGTAAATTCATTTTTCTGTATATTCTTGGTTGCATTTGCAGGCTACTTATATTTACATGAAAGCTGCTTATCTCAGTATGTTTGGACCAGATGACTGCAGCCCTTTTGGAGACAGCGAAGTTGAATTATTTAGGTAAAATTTGCTAACTCCCAGTTAAGAAAGTTTCCTATCCCTTCATGTCACAGCGTTGGAGCAAGAGAGGCAAGATTATTCATTGTGTAGTCTGGAAGATCTGCCAAATAGCATTGGACTGTTAAGAAATTGCAACATTAAACATTCCCTTAGACTGAAGTGGACCCTGAGCTTTCTCCTCGCCTGGAAATGCTTTAGTGATATAAATCAGGTCTGTCAGCCATACAGTGGCTGCTGCTGTTGCAAGTAATATTCACATTGTTTCCTTTAATCAACATTACATGTAAGATATGAAAGCTTTCAGTGGATTATTCTACAAGATGTGTGCCTTCTTCATGGAGACAGCAGTAGAACTTGATTCTTGGGGTTTTGAGTCTGAAAAGAATATGAAGGAGTTAAATGCGCAAGTGAACATAAGCATTATTAACACAGTGAGTTAACCTGATTGTAATTTAAGATCAAAATTGCCTAAATCTTGCTGGGGTAAAGAAAATTGATTATTTTGGGGTTTGCAATTTTTCTATATAAATATTACCTTTTTTTTTGTTCTGGTAATGATATTTCTTTCAGGTTTTCCATATATATTCATTACAAGCAGATTTCATTGGATTCTGGCACCATTACAAAGTGAATAGGTGTGATATTTGGTATTATGAGAGGAACACTGACAAAAGCTAGCTTGCCTCTTCCTTAGTCTATGGGGAGAGATGGGCCCTTTATTAGTTAGGTGGACCATATAATTTATTCTTTGGGTGGGGAAGAGTCCCTCTTCTTCCTGCTTGATTAAAGAGGAAGCCTAGAGATATTCGTGCCCTGCATAAAGACAGCTTTTGTGAATATGTATTGCTCAGCTTCCCCAGAGGTAGCAGTACTTCAGTCTTCAGGAGCTTTTTTAATTTCTTTTGATTTGATTTTTTTTTGTTTAAGTTTGAAGATTTTTTTCCCCAAAGGTTCTCAGGAAAAATTCCTTACATTTTCCTTTAAACTTTTAGGATTGTTCCCAGTTTGAAACTGAAAATTGCAGGGAAATCTCTGCCTACAGAAAAGTTTGCCATTCGGAAAGCTCGACGATATCTTTCTCCAAACCCCATTCCTCTGCCCGTTCCACCTTTGGTAAGTTAGAACGATATCCCCACCCCAGCCTTATTAACATCTTTTTAATTATGGAAATAAACCCAAGATAATTAGAATAGTATCTTTCCATGTTTCTAAGGTAAAACCTCTGCAGGAGACTGGAATGTTCCCAAAGCAAAGCCAAATGAATGCGAGGAATGCTGTAAAACTGGGGCATGCACCAGCCACAGGGAACTAATCCAGTTGTTTGTGACACGTAAATGTGTTGCATGTGTAACTCATTATTCCAGCCATAGACTAGCATGCTCCTAGCAGCTTTCTTTTGATTCCCTTTTGAGGAACTTTGCCCTGGGTCTCTTCTGTCACGTGTCATTTACTGAGGCTTGCTAAAAGAAGACTTTAAGGTACAAGTTACAGGGAGAGGAGGGGGAATCAAGGAAACAATGCACGAATTGGGAACTGCATATAAGCATCGATTTAATGTGCCCCTGAATGTTTGCAGTTCGGTGCTTTGCAGAGCAACTCACTGGTGCCAGGATGAAACAACCAGATCCTTTAGCCACTTTAACAGTATGCAGTGGTTTTCTGCCTTTCTTCTTTCCCTATTTTTTGTCTATAATGCTGGCCACATACCTGTGACCGGATGAGAACAGCTGCATTAAGGAACCCATTGCTTCACTTATAATGACTTAAAAAATCTGCCTGCAAAGAACACGTGAAAGAACACAAAAGGAGGTTTGCCAAGTGCAGTGGTGTTAACATGGCAGTGCTTTGAGATGTTGTGTTTGAGAAACAGATGGGTGATTAGTAAATACTCCTAAAGAAAGCGCCTCAACAACAAGAGTCTCTTGGAGACATCAGTGAGTAGTCATTTCTCAGCCCACCAGCTGGGAATGTGACAGGGTGCTGCTTGAAGAAATAGAGTTGTTACTGCATAGCGTGGGTATTCACTAGGGGCCACTTCTCACCAAGTCTTGAGGCTGCAAGGAGAGAAATAATTAGGTTACCTTAATTTGCCTTTCAGGTTTCAGAGATTGCAGAGTCAAAAGTGTACACACCAGGGGTTTGGCTGGCTATTCCAATGGGATTTTAGCAGAACAGGTGCCTGTACTAAACTCTCTTTGGAGCAGCTGGGCACTGCGTCCTTTGCTTCTGCTGCAGTTGCATTTCTGAGGCAGCAGATGCCGCAGCTGAACAATTAAAAGCGCTCCGAAGATGTGGCATTGGGTGCAGAATCTCATCTCTAGCGTTTTTCTTTTCACTGTGAAAGGACTTGCTGAGAGGAGCAAGTCCTCAAGCAAGTCTTAGCGCAGAGATTTAGCCTGCAGTAAACGTAGGTTGAATGCTCCCATTTCAAAACCATGTTAACAAGTCTGCACTAGATAAAGTAGGTTCAGCACAGGTTTTCCAATTGATAGAGACCAGATGGTGAAAGCAACAGTGACTGGGGTTAACATGCTGTTTCATTCTGTTCTAGTCTGTCAGCTATTGGTACTGCAGTTCCAGAGCTCAGTTATTCTGTGCAGAAATTTTATTGGAAGGCTTTAAATGATCAAATACAGATGAGGTTGTATAAATAAATAGAATAAATATCTTGTCCTGAGGAGCAGTCTGTTTCTGTCTTTTAACTCTGTGATTGCTAGTGGCAATGAGCACATTTGTTCTGGTGATGTAATCTAAGAGAGAACCCCAGTAACAAATAGGAATTAAACCTATTTGTTAAAACCTAAGTTTTTAATACCATTTACCCTAAGAACAGATGAATAAGAAAGGAGTTACTTTCTATGGGAACATCAAACAAATCTGAGGAATTTAAGGGATTTACAGTTCAGCTCTAAAATTCTGTTGGTTTCTTTGGAGCTCGGCTTAAAGGTTGGGGGGGGTGGTTTTCTTTTTGTTCTGTTCTGCTTTGTTGTTCTGAGGTTTCAGATATTTTCTATGGAAGCAATACATTGTAGTTAGTTATTACTGCTCTGGTTAGGATGCAACTGAAAACCAAGAGGAGAGCTTTATCAAGGGACAGCTGTGTGCCATGAATGTTTTAAGGTACTTGTCTTCATAAGTGACATTGTGTTTGTAGTCTGTTCAAGCAATCCTTCTTGCACTGTGTGTAGGAAATTGTTCTGTAGTTGTCTTCCAGGGCTGATTTGTTCTGAAATCCAATGTAACAAGTTTTCAGTTGCAATGAAAATGTGTTTCGACAAACTAACCCTTTATTTAAGGAATCTCTAACTTTTTCTTCATACAGGGATAAAGTAAAGTATTTGATAACTGCATTTATCCAGTACTGTAACTAATGATGCTGTCATTTCTCCCTGTCCCTAGGAAATGATGTATATCTGGAATGGCTATGCTGTAATTGGAAAATGTCCCAACTTAACAGAAGGCATGTTAGGGACTCTAATTGAAGCAGAAGAAGCATTGGCAAGAAGTTCAGGTAATCAGTGGTAGGGTTTAAGCAGGTATTTCAGAGTGCAATAGCTAAAGATATTATCTGTAAATAGAGACACACTCAGTAGTAGTTAATTTGATCGTAGGAGGAACATAGGTGATGAAACCATAAACTGTTTATGCAGATAGTAATAATTTTCCTTTTTAATACAGCAATAACTTACAATAGTAGCAAGTGATTTTCCATCCATTAGGAATAGTTTGACATGTGTAAAAGGACTGTTTATTTTGCTAGATCAAAACAGTGTATGCGTCGAGGTGATTACAATCATGAAGCTTTGTTATCCTTAGATACTGTATTGTTATTATACAGTTATCAAGGATAAATAGGAGATCAGTTGGTCTTCTGTTTTAAAAGTGCTGTTGATTTATGATATGACCTTGGGCTGAGTGGTATTTGTGTATCAACAGTATGCTATAGAAACCTGGCACATCAGGGTTGAGCTTCCTTTGCGCTGTGAATGAGGGTAAGATGGTATTGAACTGGAACAGGCTCTGCTACCACATCTTGTGTCAGTCTGTTAATTAGGCTTCCATGAGAAAGTTGAATTGATGCTTATTTCTTGCCAGTCTTTCCCAACTCCTGTGGGAAAGCAAGCAGTCTGCACAGCTTTCCTCACAAAGTTTTCCCTTGCTAAATATTTGATCTTATTATTCTATACTACCTTCTTGCAAAAGGATGAAGCCCCTGTTGACAAAGGAGTGCGGTCTAAATCACTGCATTGCAGTCCTTTTCTAGGACCTTTGTCTTCCCGTGCACATTGCGTTACACAGTATTTTAAAGGGTTGCTGGAAAGACCAGCTAAAGCTATCTCCTTGTTAATTAATTGAAGAAGAGTATTTTCAGTGGGAGGTGACATCTTAGAGGAAGGTTTTTTGACCCTTTCACCTTCTTTGTCACCCACTTTTTTACAGTATTTTGCGTAAGTGAATTATTCTCAGTTCCCTTTTTTCCGTAGTTGGTAAATCGGGGATAAGGCCAGGTTTTTGCAGGGGATTGTAGAAGCTGATTCATGTTTTTGAAACTCTGTAATCAAAGTGGGATTGTTTTTAAACATGCCAACAGTTTAAAGTATTACCTGTTCCAAATTGTGACTTGCTGTTTCCTTGAGCTTTCTTGACAGTGTTTGGGGCTAAACTATTGCATTTTCAAGTATTATGTATCTGAGGATGTGCTCCTAGTAGTGTTATATCATATAAGATGTAAAGGAAGCCTGTTCATGGAATTAATGTCTAGAAATACAATTATGCATATCAGATTTGCATCTAGGATAGGTCCCTAAATGTCTGCTTAAACAATCCAGGGCAGTTTATGTTGTAAGTGGAATAAACACACGCATGTGAATGTGTTCTTGAGACAGCTATCCAGAAGAGACAACTGATCTGCTTTTATTTTATTCGTATGAAATAATTCTTCTGTGGCCCTGAGTCTCTCACTGTGCACATAATGTATGTCAGCTTTTGCCCTCTTCCTTGTTCCTTCTAAGTTAGTTTGCTGCATAGTCTTTGGGCATCTTCCCTTGGGTTTGCTTTGGTGACATACATATGTAGAGGTCTCTGTGGGACTTGTCAATAGAAGTGACTCCAATTGTATGACCAAGGCCTCCAACTGCTTAGTCTAAAGGAAAACAGCTGCTTCATGCAGTGTGTGTCAGCATTTAATCAGCTGCAGTAACAGAGAAAGAACCAGGTAAGGTTTAAAGCAGTGAAAACAGGATGACATTCGCTTGCACAAGATGCAGTATCACACATTTTGCAGAAATTCTTTTCAGTTTGTGTTTCATGACTTGGAAATGAGCAAGCAAGCTGGAGACTTTGCTTGTGAACTTCACAGCTGCCTGTACAGAACAGCTACAGAAAAGCCAGATGTGTTCTTTGAAAAGCACTATGCAAGAATTTTCTGATGGAGAAAAGGCGTTGATAGTAATGACTTTGAACTAGGCACTGGTAAGGCTGGTAAGAATGACATTCAAAGTATAAACTCAAAAAGAGGTGAATGTTTCTGTTTAGCCATAAAAAGGCAGAGAATTGATAAAACACTTCCATATGAATAAGCCATGTGACTGGAAGTCAAGGAAAGAGAAGAGCTGTAGATACTAAAGGGCAATAGAGGCATAAGGTTAAGAGATTATAAATTGGACCTCAATATTTACAAAACGGCCACCTTAAATTAGTTTTTAGGTGTCGGAACAGTAAGATTGTGGAAAAAGAGTGGGATTCAGTGGGATTAGGGAGGGGAAAAAACAGCCCAAGAATTGTTAGACAGAGTTTGTTCTATGTATGAAAAGCTTGATGCATGCTTGTGTCAACTAAATTGACCAGTTATTTCTTTCTGTCCCATGTTCCAATAAATGGATTGTGCTCACACCTACCTATGTAAAAGCTTCTATACAGGTAGGAAAGTCTTTGCTGCTCTAGAGTGTTTTAAAATGTACCATTTACTTCATGTTGCAGCTACAGAATTATTGGCAGATGACCAGTGTGTGATAAAACTGTTAAAGGGCTTGTGCTTCAAGCATTTGGGCAAGATCTCAGAAGCAGAAGACCATTTTAATTACATCTATTTACAGTAAGTTCTCATACCTGGCATATGGGAGGGCTCTTGAATTTCTCAGTAACGATTCATTTCAAGTAAGAGGAGATGCAACTGTGGGAGAACTAGAAAAGAAAGGACTGCAGCATCTTTCATATTTGTTTTAGTGGTTTGGATATCAAGGAATCACAATTTTAATTGCCAGCGTTTTTAGCCAAGTATGGAAGAAGGATTGCAGATCTGCTCTCTTTACTGAGATATTTTCTCCTCTATTGGGGACTATAAGTGCATTAAATATTTGAGATAACACTTCCCTTTTTTACCCTCTTCCCCTTAGTAGTCATGAAGAAGCTGTATCCAGAAGCCAAATGAAGTCTGCAGAGACAGGTGGCAGCGTGATTATACTTGAAACCTCTATACATCAATAGCATCTCTTTTTGTCAGTTCACATGGACATTGTCATCCTTTCTAATAGTTCCCTGATAATGAAGGCAATATTATGTGATCCTGAGAAATAACGTACTGTGTAGGATGGTTATGCAAAATACGCATTTAATTACCTGGAAGTTAGCTCTAGATAGAAAACATGGCAAGTGTTGAGATTGATTGCTTTCTGATCTTAGCTAATCTCTATGTACTTGTGTTTGGAGCTATTAAATGAGGGAAGCAATTTATCATTTCCAAATCGTGAGGCTATTTCTTTTCCAATGCAGTGAGAAGAAGATAAAATATGACCATTATCTAATTCCAAATGCCTTGCTGGAGCTGGCAATACTCTATCTAGACCAGGACAGAAGAGAAGAAGCGATAAAACTACTGGAAAGAGCAAAGTAAGCATGTGAAAAGCCTGTGCTGATGTCTGATGGGTCAGTATGGTGTTTTACTGGTTAGTGGAAGGAGAAACATTTCATTAGTATCATGTAAACTCGTCGTTTCATTTTTCAATGGAAGCATGCATGCCTTTGGTTTGCTTTGGACCTTTCTAGTGGTAGGCATTATCTGATCACTCAGTCTGTGACTTGCTTGTCCATTTTGATAAGAGTAAAAAAACTTGATGCTACTAGGAACGTCAAAGGCTTCCCTAAGAAATAATCCATGTGTAACAAAATGTAATAATCTTTGCAGTCTATTTATTTATTCATAAAAGATGTATTAAATTACATCAAAGCTCTGTGTTATGGCTAAAACAGCATTACTCAAATTGATGGTTGGCATTGCTGTTTTCTTTCCTTGATGAAATACATTTAAGATAATGCTTCAGGTTGCGTTTAGTATCTTTGTATTCTTTCACCTGCGTCCGAAAGGCAACTGAAACACCTGCTTTCCTGGTTTGTGTGATTGATTTTTCTATCAGAGTGGGTTTATCAGGAGTGGTTGGACTTGATCATTTATGTTCTGCATTAGAAACTTAACAAAATACGGGGTTTGCCCTTTCTGAGCCTCTACTTCTCTGCTGAGCCAAAAATTTGGAGAGGGAAAGAGGAAGAAGAGAAGGGAATCCAAAGCAAACAAACCCTCACCTTCTTCAGTCATTCTGCACCAGGGCAGTTCACCTCTGCCTGGAGCCTGAATGAGTCCAGATGTTTGCATCTCTCCAAGTGCAGGGTCACACCAGTCACTGCCGCAGGTGTGAGCAGCTACAAAACCGATGCCTGGCCCCACGTTTCAGGGAGGTCACATTGAGATTTTGTGTTGAGCTGTTGTCCAAGTCAATCCACTGTGCAAAACAGAGTGGGGAAATCGGCCTACCAAAGGCTGTGCCAAAAGCCTGTCAGCACAGAAATTAAATTACTACAATTCTTAATCTCCCATGCTTGTGAGCCTGCTTCTCTGTAGACTCCTGGAAGATACTAAGAAGAGGAAAAATTACATTAGCAAAACGCAATGGAAAGTGTTCCAGTTGGTTTCACATTCCTCAAAGCCTGAGTCTCCTCCCATCCTCGCTTCCTGTGTTTGAATCTCTCTTATGAAGAGGTCTAGAAACTAATGATGCAGAGCTTCTCGTTCCATCTGGTACTTGTGTCGCTTGCTGCTCATCCATTGCACTTCTCCTCTGACAACTGTGTGTGGCTCAAGCCACAGGCCCATCACAGGAAGGTGTCTGGCTTAAAGAAAGCACCAGTAGACAACAGCACTTAAACATTTGTTACCCAGCATATGCAAAGCAAACACTCAGACTTGCTGTGCTCAAAGAACTCCTGGAAACTGTAATGATCTGTAGATAAAGAAGTAAACCACACCACCACGGACATCATCCCTATTTCAGTGTGCCATAAACAACAGCGCAGCCCTCACATCTCCACCTGTACCTGTTACACTGCATCAAAATGCTGAGGTTTTAAGAGCTTTCAGCTGCAAATGCTCAGTGTCTTGGAAGCCACTAGAGGGAGAGCGCGTTGTCTGTGGTGGGTTTCAGGGCTGCAGAATTAGGTTTGCCATTAGCAGGAGTGCAGGCCAGCACTTGGCGTGTGCATGATGCTTGATTTGCTTGACCTAAATCCACGTTCTGCTGCTAGCTTGAATGTTTCAGCTCTGGAAGAAGGAGTGGAATGAGATGATAAACAGTTTTGGCTTGGTCGTGCATGGAAATATTTCTGTTTGTATAAATGCAAGCTACAAGCAGGAATATCAGCCTGCTGGTGAGAAATGCAGCATCTGAGTGACAAATTCTGCTTGATTTAAAGAAAAAACTCCAGAGGGTTTCTCTCAGCATACAGCAGAGCCCAGTCACCTCCTTATGTCAGTCAGCCTCTTGGGTGTTGCATACATGAAATTATAAGCTGGTGTAGGATGGGTGTGGAATTCCTTGTTTTCACAAAGAGACTGCTGTAGTGACAGATACCATGCTTCCATGCTTGATTTGAATTACAAATCCTGAACTGAAATGCTTTTAAGGTATGCAGGCTGTTCAATACTTCATGTGATGTTACTGGGAAGATGACAAATACTTTCTAAAAGAAAATTAGCGTGGTCTAATCCTCTTTGGTATTTGGATTCTGTATCCATCCTGCAGGAGCTGACATGTTAATTCCTATTAAGGAGGATCTGCACTTTCTATGTGGTCCTAGGGGCAAGTTTTCTTTCTTTATATAAGCTTTTCCATGAAAATACAGAGTCTTTTAATGCTTCTGTAACTCTTTAGACCATGACATAGCTACTGGAAGCTGTGGGCAGGTGACAGTGCTGAGTCAGCCACTAGATGTTTGTGGGGGAAGTCCTGCCAGTCTTTCCCTGGGCTGGTGAATTGCTCCTTGGAAGCTGATACGGCATCTTGTGTGTGCCCACTTTCTCTTTCCAAGCTTCTAGGGCAGCAGATTGCCCTTATTTCCTGCACACATCGTTGATAACCATAGGATGGAGATAGGGTTTTTCCCCTGTTCTGGTTCAGGACAGCTTCTTTCTCTCTTTCTTTCTATTCCCCCTACTTCCCTTCTCTATTTCCTTGCAATGTGTGTGCTGAATTAAGATGAATCTTATTAATATGATCTCTAAAACCCTGAAAATGTTTGTATTTAGATTTGTCAGTTATTCTTGGGGGGGGGGGGGGGGTGAATCTAATTTCTGAATGTAAACTAAGTGGATGTTGTAGGTATTTACCAAGGACTCAGTATTTTGATTGAGTGGACCAGATTCAATTTCTTATTAAGCTATATTTCTCTGGTAATTGCCAGACAGTGGAACTACAAATAAAGAACAAAGAGCTGCATTGTTTGGCTAGGAACACATGCCTTGTATTTTAGAGTAGGCAACAAAGGAGCCTGTGAAGAACAGCTTTTCTGCTGTCTGCACTTGCTTTGCATAGAACAATCATAGACAGATAACTTGAAAATGTTTTAAAAATATATATTCATGAGAGTGGATCTGCTTTTGTTTCAGACAAAACTACAAGAATTACTCCATGGAAACAAGAACACACTTCAGGATTCAAGCTGCCCTGCACCAAGCCAAATCCGCCCCGGAAAATGGAGTGCACTCGGGAGCCTCGGCAGTGTCGTAACTTTTTCTTCTTTGATGTCCTGTTCGTTGCAAACGTCGGTGCAGAAAATTCCTGACACTTTAGAATCATTTTTTTCCTTCTCCTTCAAGTCGGTGAGAAACCAAATCATTGAAAATCTTCAAGGTGATGCATAGAACATTAATCGAGTGTAATAACGTGGCAAAAAACCTTCCCAAACCAACCATAACCCTGAAAAAGAGTGGTTTTCCAACAGCGGCTTCTTGAATACTTACGTCTGTGTAATTCATTTTTCAGTCATGTGTGCCTTTTTCTTGCATTCACAGCATTTACTAAGCAAGCTACCGTGTAAAGGGGAACGATTGGTCAAAAGCGAACAACCAAACGTTAAAGTTCACTGATTTAATCTGTTATCTATACAGGTTGGTTTGAATTTGCACTGCTCACAGTTGAGAAGGAAGCATCACGTTTTCCAAGTACCTGCTTAGTTGAAATGGTGTAAGAAGATCTCGGTGTGCAAGAGACACAGCTCTGAATCCAGAGCATTTCTGCTTGTGCGTGGAAAGCTCCTCTTTACCAGCTTTCACCAGTGGCGTTTTTGCTTCTGTAGGAAACTTGCGAGTGAAACAATGGTCTCCCTTTTGCAAGTGTCTTAACTTCCTCTTTAATTTGGTTTTCATGTCAAGTCCGCTTCTTGTAGCGGCTGAATGATTTACTGAGGATCCGGGGTGGGGGGGAAGGTGATGGCAGCATAGAACTGCATCACTTCTTTGACAAGGTAAAAAATGGGGGGTCCTTAGGAAGCCGTCCTTTCAGCAGAAAGGACGTGATGTGAGGTTTATATAGAGTTTAAAGCACAAGTCTTCAAAGGTCATTTAGGAAATGGCGATGTTGCCCTGGCTGTACAGCAACAGGGGTTACTGTGACAGCCAATCCCTTCGGAAAACGATTGTTCTGAGGTTTGCCCAACTTGAGCAGTCTGTGCTTAAAGAGATTGCACGGCCTTGTTTCCTGTGGTAAGAAGCTGGGGTTGGAGCAGGCTCCCTTGGCACAGTGCTCTGCCTTCCTTAAAGGAGAGCCCTTTATCTCTTTGCTTGTTATTAGTCTTTTGGGGGAATTTTTGTGTAAGGGGCTTTGGGAATAGAGCAGTGAGCTGGGTCTGCTTCCCAGTGCTGACTGCTGGAGAACAACTGCTTTTCTGCTAAACTGGTGAAGTCAGATGTAATAGGTAACATTTGACTCGCATTTACTGTTCTCTGGGCTAGCTCCATGTTTGTATGCCTGCGGGTTTTGGGGGCTCACTTCTACCTCCCTTTTGAAAGAGCTTCTTCCCCATGACCCATTCTGATATGTGGAGATGGGAGGTCTTCTGACAGCCCTTTTTCTCCAATGGAGATGTTTGTCAGGAAGATTCCTGTCTAAGTACCTCACAGTGAATATTCTTTCTAATGTGATTGTCCCCAGCACCAAATTGACAGTTTATAGCTCTGCTTTTACCTCCTCTGGGGAAATGGTATTGTTTTATAATTGCAAATTAATATGCAAGGAGAGAGAACCACCTATTCCTCAGCATGGAGAACTTGCATTGTCTCAAAAAATAGGCACCCTTTATAAAAGTCTTCCCAAGCTAAAAATCATAGATGAAGAATGCATTTTTAAAGTGACTTTCTCGGAGAAATTCAGTTCAAATAAATTTCTGAATGCAGATAAAACTCAGTATGAAGTGATGCTATTTACATACTGCACATCTACACCCAAGTGTAAAGATCCAGGCATTCTTTGTATGGAATAAAGAAGATTCTTGTTCTATTTCATGCATATAACGCCTCTTCTTCCACTTGTGTCCCTTTTAACTGTTTGGGCAGTCTTAGCATCTTTTAAGCAAGCAATGCCATGAAAATCAGCATAAATTGTGCTTTGCAGAAAGTGAACAATCCCTCTGACTAGATTCATCTCCCAAGGCCGCACTGAAACGCTCTTTGAAATGTCACCCACAACCGAGTTTCGCCTGATGATAGATACACTGCACAAAGGATGTACTGTGCAATGCGCAGTCGACTTCCCTGGTGCTTTGCAGCAATGAAAATACTAAGGCTTTCATGGTCATCTTTGGTCAAGCACAAACATCAGTCGTATCATGGACCTGATCTCCAGCTCCAGCTGAGGATTTTGTAATCAGCCATGATCAAGTAGTCGTGCTTTTGCTCTTTTGAGTTCCCAAGCAATAGGAAGTAGTCACCTTCCTCATGTAACAACAAGGATTTATGGACTGTACTGTTCTGAAGTCATGAACGGAAAATGCTAAAGGATGAATGGAAGGTCTGGTACGTTGTTGCTGCATCTGTTTTTCTATGTTACATTTTGAATTGCCCACCATTACTCTCTGTTCATCAGCATACTTCTTCATATTGATGCTCTTCCGTGGCAGGGATCAGAACCTCAGTGGTGTCAGTCTGGGCTTGTTTTTCCATTCTGGGCTTGCTTTTCCATAGCTTCTCCTGAAGCTTCCGCACTCTGCCTGAAGCAGCTCTCCAGAATGGGAAATTGCTTCATCGGTCTGAGTCCCAACAGAGTCAATTAGGGGAAGCCCTATTGGTGTATGTTCTCAAACAGCTTCAGCATTTCAGTATATTCACCTACCCAGAAGATAGCGGATACTCCGATGGAATCACAAGTCAAGGACTTTCAGCATGGCCTAAGATTCAGGAAGTGTAAATACTGCTTCAGATGGGTATAGTCAACACCTCATTCGCAAAAGGAGCACTTCCTTCTGCTTTCAAACACTGAATTGTCTGATTAATGCTAGAGAAACCCACTGTGTGTATGAAGCATTGGCCAGTGACTGCTGGTATCAACTCTTCTCAGTCCTCAGCAAAGCCAGAGAAGTGAACCAAAGGCAAACTACTAACTCATACAGCAGCAAATAGGTGTCTGCACTTGGTAGGACCTTTACTGTAAAACTTATAAACTGTACTTCTTTTATCCCTGTTTCCTGTATGTCTGCAGCAATCGCCATCGTGCCCCATGTGATATCACATCATCTGGAAGTGGTAATGGCCAGGAAGGGAAAAGCGCTAAAATGAGCATCGCTTTTATCATCAGATCTGATACATGGAATCCATGTATGTATGGTGTCTCATTAAACTGGAGGGAGGAGATGAGTTGGAAAGCCAGTGGCTTATGCTTGAGGTCTAACAAGGTGTAATTACATCAACACCTAGCTCCTGTAAGTAACACTGGGTGAAGAACAGTGGGCTGAAGCTGAACCTGGTCACAGGTCTTGATGATTAGAAGAGATTTTAATGAAGTCACAAATATAATGGGAACAAGTAAGTGGGAAACACCCACTTCTGATTGCTCAACTAAACCAACATCATAGGAGCATGCTTTGATTTGTTACTGATAGGCAGCTCTGTTGCGATCTGCAGTTAATGCATTGTCATGGATGGTTAGTCTAAAGGCTGTCCCGTTCTGACGGTGCCTCAGGTTGTTTACACTGCAGTGAGACAGCATGCAAAACTTGGCTTAGGAAGCTTTGCCTTTTATAAAATACAGTAGCACTGAACAGGAACAGGATCATATCAATCATTTCCTCCCATTTCACACTGGTTTTGGCATTAAATTCTGTATCGAGTGCCTCAGTATTTCCAGTTGATCTGTGGCCTGCGTCCAAGACTACTGGGGTGACAGCTTTGACAGCTTGCATGCCTGCAGCCCAGCAGAAGCATCAAGTCATGCTCCCCTGTGTGAAACAAGGCTTTCCTAGAGGTCAGCCCCAGAATGCAAAAACACTCCCAGGAGTTCAAACACAACACCCTCAGCCTTCAGTCCCACCTGCGAGATGCGTTTCTTCATCTTCTCAAGCACAAGAACACAGCAGCAAAGCCAGCGTATATGAAATGACCAAAACAACGCGTTCCACGTGGTTCCTCCTTTGGGAGGAAGACGAGAAGATAAAGAGGTGAGTCATGTTGTTTACTGCTGTGCAGGAAGATGGTTAATGGTTGGAAACGTCCCTGACGAAGGAGCTTTGAAAACCTGAACAGCCTGGAACCGAACTTGCTGCTTTTCTCATTATGTTCTGCAAATACCTTTTTGTGATGGATCCTATGCAAAGCGTGTATTGGCAAGTATTTTAATGGAATGATTTATCATCAGAGAGTATTTTTTGCAGATGCTATCTAGGCTTGCTTTGGGTGTCTGGAAAATGAGTACAAATGCTTCATTTCAAAAACATGCCCAGTCAATGCCTGTCTCCAGGATTTATGAACAGCAAGGGAGCTAATAAATACCTGCATTGCACTGTGGTAAAACTCTGCACGGTGTTTGCTCCAAATTCAGCAACGTTTTTGTAGGACTGGGCTGTGTTCCATTATTTTGGGGTGTTTTTTTAATCTCTGGACCTACTTTTATTGCTGGCTAAACATAGGTAAAATGTTGATTTGGAATCGTGCGTTGCCTTGAATTCTGCTTGCTTTTTTACCTCTTCTTTGTTTTACAGAAAGAATACAAAACAGCAGTAACACGCACCCCATGGGCTGTTTTACATCATAAAATTAAGCAAGGTTTCTCTCATGTTAGTCAGGTGCAGGTCTGGCTGAAAAGCAATGTGGTGAGATCAGTAGAAGCCGTGCTGCCCTGGGCAGTTTTCATCTCTCACTATTGCTTTCACCCTGCAGCACACAGGGCATGGAGGTAAGGAACAGCTTCCTCGGCACTGGAGCTGTGTTGGATGCTTGCAAAGCTGGAGCCACGGGGGCCGTGCTTGCTGTTGGTAGTGTCACAGATGCAGTTCCAGGATGAGCTGGTGGTGGTTGTGACTGCAGTGCTTTTCTGGGTGTTCTGGAAAAGGTGGTGGTGTGAGATGGCTGAAGACTGGCTCTGCTATCCATAGGTGCGGACAGGAACTTCATCTCCAGCGGCTGGCAGACTTCAGTACATCATCCTAGGGAGGTGGAGCAACGTTAACTCTAGAAGCCATGGGTCACGTTCAAGGTCATCTTCACTTGGGTGCAGTACCCAGTGCTGCTGTCATCACTATCAAGGTCACACAGCCTCTCTGGTGGGCAGCTGCAAGGTGGTTTTAGAAGCAGGCAGCAGGGCCAGTTAGTTTTGATGTGTGCTAGCACCACGGAATTCCAGGTTGGATGGAGCCCTTGAGGACCAGCGGGTCCAACCCCTCTTGGCAAAAGCACAGTCTAGACAAGACAGTCCAGCCCCCTCTCCAGCTGAGTCTTTAACATGTCCAACGTTGGGGAATCCACCACGTCCCTGGGGAGATTACTCCAATGGCTGATTGTTGGCACTGTGAGAAACCTGTTTTGGCTTTCATTCCTGCGGCTGTGGAGTCTGGGCTCCGGGTCAGGTTTCCCAGGTTCTGTGATGCTGGGCTCATCACTGATGCAAGTAATTCTTTGTATTATGAAGGAACAGTAGGAGTCTTACACATACATGTCTACTGACAGCAAGTGATCTGTCACACACACACGTATAGAAGTACATACACACAGAAAGCCTATGTATGTCTACTCACCCGCACCAATAACAGCCTCCGTAGCCAAAGCTTTTTGTCAAGTTCCCAGACCTGTTTGAACCATTCAGTTCAGCACTTTAAAGAAAAAAGGTGAGATGTGTTTCTTAAAATAACCCAAAGCTTTGACACCTTTTCAGCTGCTGGCTGAGGGAACTGCAGGGAGCTGGAGGGCCTTCACGGCTGGTTTGCTGTGGGATCCTAAAGGAAACTGCGCAGGGCATAGCCTTCTGCAAGGTGAAATCCCAAAACAGGCAATGTAGCAGAGCTCACCGAAAAGCAGTCTGAGGCTGGAGAACTCGGGGAGCATTGGGCAGCTTTTACTCTGGAGTAGCCAGGCTGTGTCTGAGGCTCGGTGTCTGGGATGGCTCCATCCTGCTAGGGGAGCACAGGTTTGGACTGATTCATTTTTCCCCCTTTAGTTTTTGCCTTGTCTGTCTGCCTCAGTGTGAATTCCTGATTAGACAGGCAGCTGCCACTGATGTGCCAGAAGGGCAGGGAAAAGAAGCTAAAAAGGTGGAAGTCTGGCTGTCCTTCAGCAGTGAGAACCATGGCAGAAGTGCCGCTAAGGAGCAAAAGCAGGGTCTCTGCTTCCAGGAAGGATTCATCCAGGGTGTGTGTAATATTGCAGTGAGCTGGACATTTACTGTCGCGTGCAGAGTTGTGGAAATGCCTTATTTGAAACAAAGACAAGTGTTTTCTAGGGGTCTGGTGCTGCAAAGAACAAGTTCATTGAAGTTCCTGCTGCTCGTGGTGCTTGTAGCAGGGCTGGATGCCTCTTGCTGAGTAAGGGCTGTGCTGTTAGAAACATGGGCAGGCATTTTCACACAGCCTTTTTTCATTCTGGATTCCCCTCTGCACCTTTTGCTTAGCAAGAGCGTCAATGCAGAGTGGACGTTGTAATAAATCGGTTGCATGCAAGTGAAGTTATTTCTTCTGCTTGAATCAAAAAGCTCCTTCTGCACAGTATGCTTAGACCTTTCTTTTTATCAAAAGGCATTAACTTTGCATTTCATACCAGGAATCCTAAAGCCCCTAACTCTTATCCAGAACAGGTTTAAGCGCAAGATAATCTGCAAAGGGTAGTTAGCATAAATTACAATCTTCAACGTTAAATGCTATATAAAAGTTAATCCTTGAAGCTAATTTTTCTTCCGGGCATGAAGGCAAGAAGGGTTCTTCTGAACAGATCTGAACTCATGTTTTCTATAGGTTTACCAACTAGTATGTCTGTTTTTAGTGAAAACACGGTGTCTGTAATAAACCGCATCTGTAATCAGCTAGCATCCCCTTCGTTTCTAAATCCGTTTTAATCCAGGATTTAACTGAGGAGAGGCCGTGCATGTTTGCTTTCAGCCATCTCGTTATTGATTTAACTGGCAGTCTGACTCAGAAGAACGTTCATCTTTACCACGGTTGCACAAGGACAGGAAATGTCAAAGTCTTGAAGCTGTGGCAACTTCAGTTCAGGTATTTCATCATCCCTCAGCCTAGAAACAATTTGCTTCTACCACTGCAATGCCGAGCCTGTCAGCCTTCCAAACGCAGCATTGCTTTCAGCCCCGGGAAGCTGCACAACAGTAGGGACTTTGAAAACCTGCAGTGGTTCAAGCGCTTCCACACCACAGCACCGCACAAAGAGATTCTCTGGGCTTTTCTTCTTGTTTACATACAGATTTGATGCTTCCCCCCCCCCCAGATTTACATAATGAACTGGCAACAAGCAATCAGGATTATCAGCCTTAGATGTAGAATGACTGAAGTGGTAATTCCAGGAGCCTGCGAGAATTTCTAAGCATAAAGGTCCTTATAAAACTGCGTATTCATTACTTCCCATTGCACCTCTCCTGCCTGAGACTGTGGGAATTCTGTTTCCCTCTGTTGTATGAGTCAAAACCCGTTTCCTACCCTAACCTGCAATTGTAACCTAACAGTTTCTCTGCTGTGCAAGCACCTCAGGTGTTGGCGATGCCCTCGGTCCCTACCTGCTCTGGTTTTGTGGCAGCTTTTTGCCTTTAAATGGCAGAGCAGGTTGCTGTGAGAAGCTGCAGTATCTGGCAATGACTAGGGAGGGGTGCGTGGACTCTCACACTCCATCTCTCCTGCGTCCTTGCCTGAAGTTGCAGAGGACTGACCCTATTGCTGGGTCTGGGCCAGGGTTGTTTTGCCAGTTAGAGGTCTAAAGCACAAACAGCGTTGTTGTTGCACTGTTTTCATCACCCTGCACAGCCCTTATGAAATACTTTAAAGCAACTTCTTTTGATGACTCCCGATGCACCTACAACCTTGGTTACTTGCAGTAGCTGTAAGGGGGTTTTTGCTTCTTTCATATAAATTGCTGTGCAAATCCCTTTACTGTGGCACACACGGCCCTGACTTAAGAAGGGCTATGGCTGAACAGGCCCAGATGAGTCAGAGCCAGCTCCTTCCACTGCCTGAGCTGCAGGAGGCTCTGGTTCAGAGACAGCTGTGCTGTAAATGGACTGTCTGATGTGGCTGAAGTGTAAGTAATTTATTAGACACCTCTGAGACTAGAGGCAAGTATTATCTTCATCTTACAGATGGTGGAGTTAGTTAATACACAAGATCTGGTTTCACCACTGGACCTAAAATTCAGGTTACACATTATTTTTGCATTAAATTCAGATCAATTGCACCTTTTTTTGTATTAGAAACCATCCAGAGAAGAGCATTCACCTAAAAACTTGAAAAAAAATCAGTTTGATTTATTTGTTATATTTACACATCTGCTTTAAGCTCAAATTTGAACCTTTTGGAATGTTTTTGTGTAATCACCTCGAGTTTTGGCCCTTCACCCCTTTCTGCTATTTAACAAGTATCTTAATAGAAGTAAGTTTTCCCTTAGCCCAGTGAGCAAATCGGTGTTGAAAGTCCAACTTTACAAAGTGCCTAGGAAAGCATTCAGCTCAGTAACGGGTCACTTCGTATTCCTTCCCAATCTTTCTTAACCAAGTCTTGTAATAAATAAAGACTAATATCAACAACATGCCAAGGCTGTTTTTTCAAGTTCTTCATTTGCCAGTTTTGACAAGAGAAAGAAAAGAATACTTTATGTGGACATTATTTTACCAAAAAAAAAAAGAAACCAAACCCCAAAAAACAGACAAAAAGGAGGACACAAAGGAACACACATGGAATGATGAAAAGGAACAATGATATTGCACAACTTCAGGTCTCTCTTCCCAGATTTTGATCCATGTAATTAGGTACGTATAGATCCAGCAAAAAAACTTGTGTCCAGATGCATGTGTAGCAATGTGAGTAATCTAGACCTGTAGACTGCTTTCAGTTCCTTCTGACTGCTACTTGGAGTTCTTCTCTAAGAGCAGGTTGCTGCAGGAGTAATAAATAAACCAACAATGTTGACTCTGCATGGTGCTGACCAACCCTTCAAAAGTCATCCACAATGCTCACAATTCTTCTATGTTGAAAATGCACTAAGTCTTCAAAGGATCTGAGCCTTTAAACACAACTTGGTTGTCATCTATAGCTTGAGTATTTGATTTGTTGTGGTTAACTTGAGATTGCATTTCATTTTGCAAGACCAGGACTTCTCAATGCATCAGCATTGTGGTGAATGTGTAAGAGTCACAGTAAAGTACGTTAAGGGGGGAAATAAAAGCAAAAACCCAAACCATGCTAAGTGTAGAGAAAAGCTCTTCACAGCTACAATCTTTGCTAGACCATCTCTTAGCAAGCACATACTGTTTGCTATAGAAATTTGCTAATGGTGTTGTCGTGGCCATAGCAGCACTGGCTTCCCCCTCAACTGCTTATAGACAGTCTGTGTTTATAGAAACTGTGCACTTACATGCAGAACAAACTGTATTTTTCTCATATCTGATTTCATACCTGTTTGGTGGATTGATGTGTCAGCCAGCAGGGCTCAACAGATACATTTAATACAGGAGACCGAGATACAGTATGTTTATTCTTAACTTCTGATAACCTAAGAACTACAAGAACGAGAGATGCAGTATCCATTTGCTGTAATCCAAGACAACCATTTTTAGGAAGAAAAGAAGTAGAGTAACTGATCACTGCTAACACTACATTACTTCCAATTTCATTTCTCTTTTTCTCTCAGTCACGGTAACTATTTATTGCCCTCCTGGCCCACTTTTAATCTGAGCAAGTTAAAGGTGACATTAGACTTTAACACCTGTTGTTTCATCAGAACCAAAGCAAGTGATAAAACCTATGAAACCATAATTTCACTGTAGGACTTGTTTCATATCTTCACATTCCACCTCACGTGTAGGAAAGGGATAATGCATCTCGGTTTGCTTACAAGCTAGGAGATCACTTTGAAGTCTGCATATTCCTAACTGCAAACAAAATATAACACTTTTAACAGGTTATAAATAAACTGGTTTTCAAGCATAGAGCCAGCCCAACAATAACAATACACTATTAAAAAGACCTAAGGCAATGAATTCCATCTCCAATGGAGTCAAAAAGGGGGGGGGGGGGGAGAGAGAGAAAAACAACTGTGCAAACAAGCTTAAACCTATTTCTTTGTGCCAGTGTTATAAAATGTAGATTTCAATAAAGCCTTGACCCAAATGCCAGGACTTGTGAAAAGAATCAGAACAAAACTGGTTACTTTATTTAGGAAAAAAATACTCTTATCTCGCTGCTAATAAAATTGGATACACAGAGTTTAAACATTTACAGTTGCTGTAACACTTTACACAATTCCTATATATGGGTGTAAGAACAAACATTAAAAGACAATGGTGGGTCAAGGCTTTACATTAAAAATAACGACCTACTTCTCTATAGTCTCTAAAATACTATGTTTTTTTCCAATATTTGCAGCCATTCAGGAATATTTTTTATTTCTTTATTAGGAAATGTATACTTTGTGCATGACCTTAATTCCTAATTCCTGGCTCTTTGGGCTGAATGACAAAAGGATCAAACTCCTTAAAGTGGATGGTCTCCTTGAAGGTTCAGTGGAGAAACCCTGGCTCAGTTAGTCTCGTATGATGAAAGCAGTGCTGCATCCACTGGCTCCATGCAGGATGGACAGGTAAAGGATCTCATCAACCAGTCATCTATACAGTCCAGGTGGTAAATGTGCATGCACGGCAGAAATCGGATAGGGTCCCCATAAACAAAGTCCATCATACAAATGACACACCTGGGGGGAAAGAAAGATCATAACAATATTTAAACTGCTGTTACCACACTGGAAATGAAGAGTAATGTGATATTTACTCCTAGGTATGTTTGAGTCAAACAGACCTTTAGTACTTGTAGTTACTGGGAGGAGTTTTTAGCTCTTGTCAGTGCTGGCCCCACCAAGCACTAGAGGGTTTTTTGGCATTCATTTGAGTATACGTGCTCCTGGTTACAGCGTTAGTGAGGGCAAGAAGCCTTCTATAGGCATGGGGAGGGGGCAGCTCAGAAGAGTGCATAAGATTAGAAATGGTAAAAGGGAGCCACAGAGGTGAGGGAGTAACATAAAATTATTAATTTCGTGAAGAGAGGATAAAGAGGGAAAAAACCCTATAGGGGCATGAATTACATTTGGGAAAGTTTCACCTGTAACAGGAAAACAAGGGTGGATAAAGGAAGGAACTGTCTACATGGTCATTTTTTTTCCCCAGGAGGCTACATTAAACTGCAGTCTCTTAAGGCAAACCAGGAGGACAAGATCAGGTTCCGCAGGGCAGTATCATCGCCCAGTGCAACAGGCACATGGGCTCAGTTTCTGTAACTTACTCTCTGATCTTCTTCTCGGAGCCGTCTCTTCCAGGATCATAGACTCCTTTAGGTAGATGCTGAATAAGGCCTATCCTCTGCGCTATTCTGATTTGTTCCTCTTCTGTCAGCTGTGTTGCTAGCCGAGTCTGGCTGGGAGTTGGGTGATAAACAGGAACGGGGACCTGCTCCTAAAAGTAAAAGATTTCCATTAAACAAACCACAGAGGCTTTTCTAGCAGTTCATAGCACAGCACAGGCAACATATTGAACTCTTCCACTTAGTCCTACAAACATCTGTAGGATCTCCCACTCCAACTGGGCAGTTTTGGGGGCTGTAATTACATTGAGAATGGGGTAAAAAACTTGAGGCCAGTGTGTTGAGCAAGGAGCTGTTTGGGGTTGTTCTCTGCAAAAGCTCTATTATCTCCAGGAATTAAAACCAATGTACAACAAACTCCACATGGCAGAGGGCACATAAACCTTCCAAGCACCTGGTGAACTACACAGATACTGATTGAGCAACATCATGGCTGAGGAAGAGCCACCAGTGTTTGCAACAAAAAGCAGACTTTCCATTGTGGAACAGTGACTTGCAAAGAGGAGGATAGGGCCTATTCTTAAGAGTCTTGGAGAGAAAGGTTTCATTGGTTCTGTAACAATTGCAGTTTATGTGACCTGTTTGGGGCCACACAAGCTCCAAACCAGAACCACAGGTTTAATTCTTTTGTGTCTGTGTCACCTGGACAATAAAAAGAAGAGCTTAAGGACTCCAAGTTTTACATTTGTTCTCAATACATTAATACAAGCCTACAAGTCCTCCCAAGCTGAACTTCAACCGCTGTTAGGTTTCAAGTCCGTTCTTCCCAAACTAAAAATAGGCAACATGTAAGTATTATGCAGTCCTTCCTCTGCCGTGTTCTCAGAAGCTTCTTTTGCTATTAACAAGCTTTAGATTAGACACTTTCACCAACAGTTACATTAACATGGTATTTATTTTACTTGCTTTTAAAGCAAACTTTTTTGGACATAAACACCAGTTTTGAACAGGAGGCACTGTTAGGACAGTGCTGGCCAGTAGCCATACATCTCTTTTTATAGGGACACAATTTCTTGCAATAGGTCTATTTTAACCATACTTCTTAAACAGCAGAAAAAATTCAACTTATTGCTGCATTCTGAGAATAACCCTGGTGCACTGGAGACACAACGGCATCGATTCCACCATCTGAAAAACGCAGAAGTAGGTGTTTCAGAGGACACTGCTGCAAAACAAGAGTGCAGGGGTGCGTGCAGCTGCGCTGCAAGAATCGCCGATGCAGCACACATCACCTCCAACAAAGTTCCCTTTGCCACACTCCTGCTTGCTCATCACAGATGTGGGGAAGACACAGGCCTTTGCTGTCTGGGGCAGAGCAACCACCTTTGTGCATGTCCTTCCAGAGAGCATGGGCCGCTGTTGGCATCGCCAGGTATTTCTAGCAGCAGGAACCACAGCTCTGTTCCCCTCTCCTGTTCCCTTTTTGCCTTTTCGCCTCCTCTGGCAACGGTCTAGTGCAGCGTTCAGTGTTCAACTGACACCAGCACCTGGCAAAGCCCAGATACGGGGCTTAACACATGCAAACTGTGCTTGTAAAACCTGATAAAGCCATTCCCTTTTCCACGTGCCATGCTGCTTAGCAGCAAGTGACAGACTGCCCCTGGAAGGCCAAGAGAAAGCAGCCTCTCACCAGCCAGCGCCAGCAGCAAAAGGCCTTGCTTATGAGAAATGCCAGTCAAAACCACCAGCCTGCCTGGCAGCTCTTTTCACATACTGCCCACCGCTTGCTGTCGGGTAAAATTCAGTCTTCTCTTAATTTAGCTACACCAGGATTTCCCCCTCTGATTTCCTAGCAGAACTCTGAGGAATTATGAGGTTCAAAAGACAAAACGCCAGCGGTGCTGTAAATTTGATTAATTTCCTGACTATGCCAAACTTTATCTCACAGAATCGCAATTTCTTCCAGATCAGCCACATTTTAATGGCTTAAATTACCTAAAGTATCCTCTAATCTGCGTTTGGATAGGGAAAAACACCAGCTGAAGCTAGAGATGACCTGTCAGGTATAACCAGCTATTCTTAAGTGGCTCTGCAACCTTTGGTGCCAGTGAAATAAACACTTTTGCCCCTGCCAAATGCTGCAGAACCTCTGCACTGAACGTGTCAGCTCAAGGCAGAGCCTGGTCTTGGTTTTATGTTTCAAGAACTTAACACTATGAACTGTCGGTAACTTTTAACTCCAAGGCTTTGCTATACTACTTTGAACAGATTATTAAATCAATAGTAAAGACATTACTGCTAACTCCTTACAGAGATGTAAAGAACACTTTGGATCTGGAGAGAGATGCACCCTCCTTCCAGTCTTAGGAAATACAAGAGGAGTAGCAGAACTGTATGTGCACGGCCCAGGTTGATGCTAGTACGGGCAGATGAAGGGGAGTCTCCTGTACTTAATACAGATCCCCTTGGCAAATCCATGACTGCAAGTGATAATGCAGAAATACAAAGAAAGGGGAAAACAGAAGGAGAAAAAAAAGACCCAAGAAACTCTCAAAATGTCTGAAAGTAGAAGAGACAGCTGTCAGTGAATGCAACAGCAGTGATCATCTCGGCAGAAATCATACAGGGGAAGAAGACTACGGTTAAGTAGGAACCTGTTGCGAGTTAAACCCATCGCTGTTGGACAACTGTGAAACAAGAAATCACTCGTGCTCTCCATCCAATGACTGCTTCAGTTATGTTTTGGACAGTGAATTATCACAACTTGCTAGCTTGTAATAGGCCAAACCAAAATGAACCCTTGTTCTAGTCTTTCCCGGGTGCTTGCCGCAAGCAACCACTGAGGGACAATGTACTTGGGGAACCCATTTCTGCATTACTGCAGTGCCCCTCTCCTGAGGTCTCACATTCCCCCTGCCGAAGAGGAGCAGGATGGACCCCCCCCCAGGCCAAACACACAAATGCTTTCCCGACCACCAGCACTGTATGGAAACATTCCTCCTTTTGGCGTCCCATCTCAGGTTCCCTCCCCGCAGAGCCACCCACCCGCGCTGCATGTCCAACATAACCAATTACAGCGGGAATTTATAGTTGCCAGCTGTGGGCTTCTAGGATTTCACAGCGTGGACAAGAATCTCTTGTCGGATGAGTAACACCGGGTGAAAAATGGTGCTTTCACCACGACATCCTCATGGTTGTGAATATAAAATACTGGGGGTGGTGTGGCTGCCAAGCTGCTGTGGAAAATGCGTAAGTTGTACTACTGCAAGTGAAGAGGAGTGACCGCTCACTACGGGTGATCGGGTGCGCTCCTTCAGCACGCTGTCTGGTGGCACTTCCACTCTCACCTCCCAATTGCTATTAAAAGCCTGCCTAGACTGAGCCAGCAGTCCCCTGGATCCAAACACACCAGTAAAACTGGAGAACACAGTGTGCGTGTTGCAGAGACTCAAGTTATAGGGCACCCACTCAATAACCTTTTCAAACCAGTCCCTTCCCCTTCAAAAAGGTGTGTTTATACCTGTATGATTCTAAACATATTTTAAACTATTTATTCATGAGAATATGAGAGACCAGATTTCTCCAAGTCTGACGAGCTGACTTTCATTACCCCAGAGGGGTCAAAGTAAGAGATGGAGCAGAAAGTGTTCAAGGCCAGGTTGGACAGGGCTTGGAGCAACCTGCTTTAGTGGAAGGTGTCCCTGTTTGTGGCAGGGGGCTGGAACTGGATGAGCTTTAAGGTTTCTTCAACCCAAAACATTCTGTGATTCCCTCACCTGCACCCCACTCACCAGCCATCAGCCACGCTGGGCACCCCCAGCATGCACCCAGGCTGCCTGCTCACAGCCACCACCGCATCAGCACCCCGGCAGCTGCATCCTCTGGTGTCTCCACCACCAAATCTCTGGACCATTTTTGGAAGTCAAGCTCATGGGACAGTAATTTCAAGCCTCCTGCAGGGACAGAGTGCAGCCCTGCCTACGCGGGTTTATCACCCCTCTGCTAATCTGTCACAGTTTATAATGGCTGCTGTTATCAACCCACGTTAAGGCAAGGTCCTGCTCACTCCAGCATAGATATTCAAGGGTAACAACATGAGGATGTGAGACTTCAGCAAACTTACATTTGTAGTTAAGAGGCCCCTGACATGTGTGTGTGTATATATATATATATATATATATATATATATATATACACACATACACACACACACACACACATATACATACACACAAGATTGTATTACCCAAGTAATTATTACCTTACTCCAAAGACAAGCATGAATTTATTGCTCTCACTTCTCCCTTATCTCCCTTGGAAAATGTTTTTGCAGACCAAATTAGGAAATACTGAACTCCCAGCCAAAGTCCATGTTATCATTTGATAAAGATGTCAGGCATTTCAAACCCAGATGAAATTTCATGTTAACTCTATTCCTCGATGCAAAAAGGCCAAAACACAGAATCAAAACCACATTATCAGTGTCAGGCAGTGAAATAAAAATCACTTTCTGGCACTTAATTTGCTTTAATCAATTATTTTTTTACCCCCATGTGAATTTGGTAATGATGAAACATCTGGAGATACACATTTTTCTTGTTCACAAAGTAGGTGGTGTCAGCACAAGATTCCTTGGCTTTCTGTGCACAGAAATCATTGGTCCCTCGTGTTTATTCAGCCCTTAAATAACAGCATTAATTTAAACTCAAGGACTAGGGCAGGGTTTGTGTCTCCACCTCACCCTGGCCTCTCATCCTCTGGGGGGGAAACAAGAGGGGGAAAAAATCATAGAGGGCATCTGGAGGTTGCATTTTTCACTTGCAATGAAAATAAACATTTTCACACAGGCTTAAAAGGCCCAGACACTGTTTCTGCATGCAGATTCCCAAGCACGCTTTGGGTTCTCACCCAGGAAAAGGAGGTTTCATCAAGCACGATTTTTAGTTTGAAGTTTTCTCCTCAATGCAACTTACAGCAGCGTAAGTAACCAAGGTAAACCTGCCTTTCTCTTGTTCTACAGCATTTTCATGCTGGTTTTGCAAGCGCAATGAATGTCCAATGCTCTGAAAACAGGTCAGTGGTAGATCAGAAACTCCTAATCTCTGGATAAAGATTATTTTAAGATCCCTCTACACCACATATGAGCAGTAGG